TTATTTAAGTATTAATAGAGTTAACAAAATTTAATTTATTTTATTAAATTACTGCTTTTTTATAAAAAAAAATAATTAAAAATCAAATTTTATAATAATAAATTCTAAAATATATGTCCTCGAAGAGGAAAAATAACTTCTAAGGCAAATGCTGTTAATTATTTCCGTTTTCCTGTTAGCTTTATAAATAAACCATGTTTATAGAAGTATAAATTGATTAAAGAGTATTTTATCATAAATCATATTTATTTAATATTTGCCCATTTATGATAATTATTCTTATTCCAAATAATATAATTTAATGTAAACTATGTTAGATTATTATTATTATTTTAATTTTAACAAAATGGAATAAATATCGTTATATCTCAATGGTACAGCATATGCATCACAAAATCAAAGCCTTCGATAGTTATAGTGGCACAAAACGTGTACCATTTTATAAATACCTTTATTTTTAATTATTTGGACATTCTAAATGTTTCTTTTTATATATATATAATTTATTCTGTCTGATTTAATTAAATAACAGTATTGTTCTTTATGGAAAACATTTACACATTTATTAATTTACTTGCAAATAAAATTATGTTTTATGTTTATAACTTAAAAAACCAGGTAAAAAGATTAAATTTAAAAATTTACATTTTATTTCTAATAAAAACATGAAATTCATGCATAATCATTCTCTATTATTTCTTCATTCTCAAATGTTATTTGTATCACTGTGAGCTAATGATGAAAATTTTTTGGTTTAGTATCATTATGTTCTTTTATATTAATATAAATCTAAAAATCCCCTCTCCCCGGCATGCATATTTGAGCAAGACTAAAGATGCTTTTGGTTATGAACACTTTTATTAATGTAAATATATCTATTTAAATCTATGGAAAAAGTAAAATGCAAATTTTTATTATATTATTTTGCCTTATTTATATAATTAGTAAATGGCACTGGGTGAAAAATGTTAGAAAATAGATGGAATGCATTAATAATGAGGGACCCATAAATATTTTTCTTTGTAGAAGGAGATGTGAGATTTATCAGTTTGTCTCTGATACTAACACATATAATTTAAATTATATTTTTATAAATTATTGTTAAAAATAATTAAGTAAAGGTATATAAACAAGTATTGACTTGTTCTAGATAAAGAAAGTAGCAACTTATTCATCACAAAATATATATAACATTAAAATTGTGTTATTTATAAGGGGAAAAATACTTTTAATAAGGTTTACTAGTGTATTTTTTAAATAATTAATCACATTATCCCAAAAATAGTTCCATTAAAAAATACAAAAATTATAGAAAATCAACAAGAGACTTGAGAAATAAATAAAAATGTAATCTTCATAAATTAAAAAAAAATCTATTATTGTTACAGTGGTTTTGATGAATTTTATTTTACTTTATTTTTTCAAAATCCAAGGAATTTAAATTTTCGCAAAAACGTGATTAATGAATGAGTGAAATAATAATCAAAAACACCTGTTATTAAATTACTAAATATACTTCATCACGACCGATTAGTCTGTAACATTAAAAATTATTTTAATTTGAGAATTTTAAAAAATATTTATATTTTCAGCCCATGAAGGTGAAAAAAGGCCAAATTGAAAGATAAAATTATCGAAACATGGCAAAAAGGTCTGATCCTTTTAGCGAAATCTCGAGGCTTAAGTAATATTTAGTTGATTAAAATCATGACCCATTTTTTTCTAAATCGGATAAATCTGCACAGGCGCCATTAGACCCTTTAAAATTTTAAAATGATTATATCAAGATTTTCTATACGTTTTTACAAATTATTTATTAGAGCCACATCTCCAAAACATTTATAACATCAAGGTTATCTAATGAAGTTTTTCCCACGTTTTTGATTGTCAATTCTAAAATAGTCTCATTTGGTGTTCTTTGATAAAGTTCAGCGAAATCAATATTTCGCCAAATAAATTATTATCCAATCCTCGAGATTTTGATAGTAGATATAACAGAAAGTTTGGCATTGTTTTGACAAAATCTTGAAGCTTAAATAATATTTTTTGATTAAAATCTTGATTTATACCTATTTATTAAACCGCCTAACTGTTTTAGACGCCGTGCAGACTGAACAAAGTATAAGAAAAATTGCTCATAAAATAAAATCAATTTAAATACTTTGTTTAAAAAATATACTTAGAATGCATTTCAAAACAATTTTTTTATTTTATTAAGTAGGTAAAATCTGTTTAGCATCTACAAGACATACCAACATATTCATCAAAAGAATTCAGAATTATAAAATTTTTGACATTAGTAATTCCTGCAAATTGTTAAAGTATATATGTTTATACGTTATTTTTAGTTTGGAAGCTACTATTGAGATTACTGGGAATAACCTTCTATTTGGTGGGTAGAGCAGATGCATAGTAATATGTATATATTAATAAATTCTAAGGATAATTAAAAATGTATTTTTCTTCTTCTTCTTTACTAAATTTTTATTACAATTTTATGGAATATATCTTCAAATAACTATATTAAAATTTTTATAGACAGGTGCGTAGCCAAGTATGGATTTGTGGGGAAGGGGAGGGTTTGGAACCCTCCCCCATATTACAAAATTTTTGGAAAAAATAAAAGAGCTAAGGACTGTAGCCAGCAAGGGTGGAAGAGGAGGAAAACCCCCTCCACCCTGTAGGAAGAATTTTTGAAAAAATATAAAAGGGCTTCATAAATTGGTAAGTATTCTATTTTAAGTAGATTATATTCTATTCTAAATATTAGCAAAAAGTAAAAATTAATTTTAAATATTTATTTCTTGTATATTTATATTTTATCTCACGATTTAAAATTTATGTTTTTACATTTTTAAAACTTTAAAACACTATTTGATATAGGATAGTTCATCAGCCAAAAATATCTCTATTTAATTTATTCCTATTAATAACTATGATAAAATTTCTAGTGTATAAAATGTTCAGATATTCAAATAGGAAGGAATTTTCTGAATATAATTATTTCTGAGATTTCTTATGCTATACAAATGGGGCCTTCGACATAAAGCTGGTAGAGAATTTATTGGATGCAGATGGAGAAATATCTGAATCATCTAAAACAGATATTTCATATGAAGCGGATACATTATTAGATTTAATATGATCGCCATTTTTTTTAATTGCAATATATATTTTTCAAAAATATGGATTTGACTGAAGTTTTGAGAATGGCGAATATTATTCTATTATAACATTGAAACCAAAAGATAATATCGACCAAGAATTTTCCGAGATTTATGTAATTGTTGAAGTGAAATTATGATTTTGAGATTCATAAACCTCGACTTTCATAGATAAATAAATCGTTACATTATTAACATAGACTTAATTGAGTATTACTATCAAATAACCGTTTTTATTCCACTTTTGGATTTAATTTTGACTCAAATCAATGGACAATTTGTGATTTATCAAATGGCTCTATCAATTTGATCTTATAACTCCCTCTGATCTGATGATATATCAAATCTTGATATCAATAAATTAAATATTTAGCTAAATTTTATTCATAAGATACAAATGTATCTGAAGGTCAATTAATTTCAGAATTTAAATGGTATAAATGAAAGTTTCATTTTTTGTTAATAATCCTCTATGAAATACAGTTGAAGAATGCATACTTTAAAATATATTTTATAAGTTTCCCAAATTAATAAAATGTATATTTTAGCAATAATATTAATTAGTACAAGCACAAATGAGATGACCTTTTCTTCTTATGGAGAATAAAACCCTATATCAAAAGTACGATATCTTAAAACTGATTGAATAGACTAGCTTTACTCATCGAGATCTAATCCCTAACACAGAACAAATTATTAAAAAATTGGAGCAATCATATAGATGATTACATTTTTATTTATGGAAGATATTTTGATTAACCTTTTCAATCATTATAAAATGTTTAATTTTATTCTGATATGCATATCTGTTTATATAGCTATAATATTTTTTTAACCGTATTATATTCGCTCTTAATATCTTGATTTTCTAATATTTTATTATTTGTGTTCAAAATTATCACATTTTGAGATAAAATTGGTTCTATATTTCGATGCATGGTATAATGGAATAAGACCTCGGCTCCATTTTGTTGATTTTCGGATTCCGAAGTAATGATTAAAAGGAACGGATGGAAGCATCCATTACTATGGCGCTAACCCACAAAAATGTCAATCATAATTTTTTAAAACTATGCAAATAATAAACTTAATTTTTTATAATTAAAATCGTAATAAATAAATAAATAAAAATTTATCACAGTAAATTATAAATTAAAATATTTTTTAAGAAATTTTGAAAAAAAAATAGCCATGTAAAAAAATATATATGAATAGTGTCAATATTAATCCCTGATATTATTTTTTTGGGTGGAAAAAAATACGGTTATAACGGGCTTACTAAAATTTCTCGGGCAAAGAGAAATTTATAGCTCAAAAAGTAGGAGACGTTAAGACCGAAAAGAAAATAATTTTAGAGAGTAGGAACTTGCTACAAAATATGGGGAACATTATAGGCGCGAAAACTCAATCTTTAATAAGAGGTTATTAATTTTATCAATTTTTTTAAAAAAAAAACAATATTAAATATCATGTATAGTAATAATTATAATTAATTCTATTCATTTTTTGTAATACTATTTTTAAAAAAAACTAATATATATATATAATAACAAATGATTATATTAAATAATAAAAAATTTAAAACAAAAAAAATTATTCATCTAAATCAAACATGCTTAAAATATTTTTTTAAACATTATTATTATACATAAATTACTATACATCAGTTCGTGATTTTATCTATAAATAATGATAATATATATATCTTTTTCTGATAAATATTATTGGTAGCAAAAATATATAAAATGCATTAATTAATATTAATATTATTTTATTTAAAAAGGCAAAAACAAATTTTTTGTATTGTTATTGTACAAATTATTGGTAAATTTTCCTATTATAGTAATATATTTTATTTTTATTAGAGTATAAAATAGATTTTGGGTATAAAAAAAATGTATCAGATTTGAAAAAAGGGCCAATTAGAAAAACATTTTGTAAATATCCCGATTCGTTACTTTTGTTTGTCTTTCATATCTGTATCGAAATTGGTGCAGATCTTTAGTACTGCATTTTAAAAATGTTTACAATGATATCATATCTTCTATATTTTAGCATTGAAGGCGTTGCAGCGTCGAAGAAGACTACCAGGACCAGGAAAGAGAATAAGGGTGTCAAATAGTTGGAATATTGACTTCTCCATCAAAAAACCTCCTAAAAGTAAACTCGAAGAAGGCATGCTCTGGCATCTCAAAAGGCTCTTCTTCCATTTTCGGAGGAATTTTGGTAGCATTCCCGTGCTCAGTTGTCGGAAAATCTTCCATTTTTTTCCTATGATCATTATTATCCATCTCATTTTTAAAATTAGCTAATTTCGGGGTTTCAAAAAAATTGACACGATTTTCTTCCATCTTAGATAAAATGCCGTGTTCAGCTTTATTGTTATTTTTATTCCATAGGCCATTTTTTTGATCCGCTATTTTTACGCCACAGCTATAAAATCGGTTGGCAATGACCTGCCCCTTATTAAGAGCGTATTTAAGTGTTACTTCCTCTTCACCTTCTACCTCTTCTGATAGGAGTTTTTGTACAGGCTTTTCGGCTTTACCATTACCAATAAAATTCACATTTCGATTATTATTACGGTCACTAGAAATGTTCATATTTGAATCGCATTTTTGATCGTAAACATACCCATCATTGGAGAAATCGCTATCAGTAAATTTACCATAGTAGTCACCATTATCCAATAAATTTTTCGTATTCACGTTATTGTGTTCGGTTCCTACTTTCCCCGGATAATATTCACTATTCCCGGTCAAATGCAACTTTTCGCCACTGACAGCGGGAAATCGTGAATATGAAGAGTCCACCCCAACTATATCATTCGAATTTTCGTCTAGAAAGTCAGCATTATCAAGATCATCGGAGCCATCGAAATCGTCAAAATTAGAAGTATCCAAGGGGTGAGATAAGGGAGGAATATATGGCGCGCGTTCTGTCCTGAGAGTCGAGAAATCGATACCTTTAAAAAACGGATGGGATTTTATGGCTTTAACGTTGTTGAGGCGAGATGATTGGTCCCTACATAAGTGCTTTATGAGGTGAACAGCTGACGGGGATAAGGTCGATAAAGCGTGGGGCGGAATGCGAAGGGTTGAAGGCCAGTTAATTACCTATTTTAGGAAAGGATTTTTTTTAAAAAAATAAAAAAATTAGTCAATAAAATGTGAAAAAATTTTGATTAATGATTTTGTAATCTAGGAAGGGAAAAAAAAAATGTAAGACATGAGAGAATAAATAATAGGATTTAGACCAAAATTTGAAAAAGATAATTAAAGCGACAAAATATCTAAAAACTAAAAATTGATTCCGTTTAAATAAAACATAAAACATTATATTACCTTAATTTGAGTATCCCTCGGGGAATTGGCCAAAAATGGAGGTCTACCCACCAACATTTCGAATAATATCACTCCTAAACTCCACCAATCACATGATTTGTCATAAGCTTTATTCAAAAAAAAATATATATTATTAATAAAATAAAGGTATTTTAAAATTCTATTTTAAACATAATATAGAAACAAAATCCACATTTTTATTCATTATCCATATTCATTAATTATGATTTCCCACTTCAATTAAGTGCAATATATGGGAAAAGTGCTAGCAAAGGTTAAAACATGAACCTATTTTTTTTAGCCCCCCCCCCCCTTCTCTAATCGAAGAAAAAAATTTGTCGATCCAATACGAGCAATTTCTTTCCTTAATAAATCCGAGACTGATTGTTAAAAAAAAGTAAAATATTTGTACGTCAATCAAAAGCAAAAAAAATTATAAGCGCAAGGAATATAAAAGAGGTTTGAAAGAGAATATTTTTATTAAAAAATAATTTTGTAGATTCGAGTCTGTTTAAATCAAAATTAATAATCGAGGTTCGATTCGACCCCGAGTGGGATTGGTCCTCCAAAAAGGTAAAAAATAGTGGAAAAAATGGAACATTAAAACTAACCTTGTCTCAACAATATTTCAGGCGCTATGTAATTAGGTGTTCCCACGAGTGAATGAGCCAACCGTCTTTTCCTATGCACAGTCATTCTGCGATTATGGTAGTTTGAACTCCCTGAAACTTCTTCATACTTATTTTCGGACATATGATAACTAGTTGCTTCATGATTGGCATTTAAATCGCGATTCGTATGATCTAGGTGCTTGGGATTTGTATTTTGGGTAGTGTCAAAAGGGTAGGAAGTGGTCTGAATTGCACCTGAGATAACATTATTTATTGGGTTTGTATTAAACGTAAATTTTATTAGGCATTATATTTCATGTTAAGAAATAACGGGGCTCATCATAGGGTAAAAAGGCATCATAAACGCATTATGTTAAGTAGCGTTTTGATGATAACGCTATTACAAAATTTTAAAAACATATGTTGCGATGCGTTAATAATAAATATGGGATACGATTATAAAAATAATAGCGAATTCGTTTGAAAAGGTAATAGAATTTTTCTTAAATATTATTTAAAATAATTATCTCTATTTTAGCTTTATCATGGATTAGTTTTTATAAATGAATCAGCTGTAATAACGCTGAAATAACGCAACGCTTGAAGATAACGCGTTTACTAGAAATGCAGCGTAAGGCCATATCAAAGCGTCGTGGTGTTTGAGGGTATAATGTTTAAAAAATAGCAAGTCAAAAATCGAGCGTTTTAAAATGATATTTCAAGCGTTGGTATATTTTAAAAAAATTTTTATCGTCTGCTTAAATAATTTCATAATTTATAAGTAATAGCTGTGTATATATTTATTAAAAAACTATCAAATTTAGAAGGATCAAGATGGTCTTAGCCATATGGTATAAAATAATATAAAACGATTTAAAAACCTTTCCTTCGAATACGACTTATTAAAAAGAATAAAATCTTGACAATGCGGACAAGGGAAGATAGGGAAGCAGAAAATCTCCCCCCATTTCTCGTGGGGGGAAAAAAATGTTTATCCAATTTTTTCCAGGTTTAAAAATAATTATTTACTTTAGGAACAAAAATATACTAAGAAATTCAAACTTACAAATGCCTAAGAAATTTTGAATCTCTTAAACGTAATTTTATTATTATTTTTCCCTTATATAATGCTTCTTCATAATACAAATTATATGCTATAATCCAGCCCTAGTGTTGGTAAAAAACCAGATTAGGGTAGATTTTTAAAAAAAATGGCCAGATTAAAATTATAACCAAAAATAACATTAAGCAAACCAAAGATTTTCTCATAGCAAAATCCCAGAAATCCTTAGACATCAATTTGCCAAATTTCGATGCTTACATAATATTATTTTAGCTAAAATCTTAATCGGGCCTTTTTTAAAAAAAGACACAAATCAGGTTTTTTTTAACAACACTACCCAGCTCAAAGGGGAGAATATAAGGGAAATACGGTATAGATTTTTGTATATATTTTATCATTTAAAATATTTAAACTTAGCTAAAAAAAATTCATTTTACCGGAGTTACTAGTGGATTCAGTGTTCGGGGAAATTAAAGCTGTAGGAATATGATAATTCCTCGAATCGTGTGTCCACCTGAAGCCGGTACAAAGGCCAAAATCGGTCAACTTGATATGTCCACCCCTGTCTATGAGCACGTTATCGGGTTTAATATCTCGGTGGATGAATCCCAATTCGTGCACAGCGTCGATGGCCAAAACCAATTCGGCCGTGTAAAATAGAGCTAGAGGTCGTTCGCAAAATAAGCCCAAACTTGAAGTAAGTTTAATTTTTTTTTAAAAAATATAATTAAAGGTCATTTTCGGATTTTAAAAAATTTAATTTATTTTCCTTTTTTTAAATATCATTTTTTTCTAGGGGAGATTTGCAATGCTTGACCTGGGTAATGGAAAAAAATTATCCGGCTGGATTATTGATGTGATTGAAGTAATAATCAATAAAGTCTAGTGTTTTTTTTTTAAATTAAATCCCTCCCCAAAATTATAAATAGTTGTTTATTTTGGTGTTCAACTACATATATTTCGGGTTAATTCATGTAAAAAATGCCGAACCGGGTAATCTTAGAAAAATTGGAGATGGATCGGGTACGAATTTGGCCCTGCCATGCCTAAAAAATTTGACATTTGCAGATCTTTAATCCCTTATTCCCCCCCCCTCTCACATTTCTTCCTCCCAACCTGCAATCAATAAAAAAAACAAGATGGTTCATATGAATTTTGCGAAAATACCGTATGAGTAGCGACATCAAATCCCCCCCTGGCACGTAATCCATAACGAAGTAGAGGTTAAAATCATCCTGAAAACTGTGGTAAAGTTTGACGACCCATTCCGTATCGGCTTCGGCCAAAATATCTCGTTCCGCTTTAACGTGACCGGCTTGCTTGCGTTTGTAAACGTCGGCTTTGCGGAGTGTTTTGAGGGCGTAAAGCGGTAATTGGGACAATTGAGTCTGGCTGAGAACGCTAGTGGGCAGCGGGGAATTTTGCGGAATATTTTGCGAGACCTGTAAGTAGTTTTGTATTGAATACGGAGAGTTTTCCTTGCTTTCTCTTCCCCCAGATGCGTATGTCGCTGGTAACCCGTGGTAAACGTTTGCTACTGGATTATCATTTGGCAAAAAATCTGGCGGGGAACTTTGCATAGTTTGACAAATTTCTAATAACTCCGGTCTGGATTCTTTATAAATGACCTCTTGCGAATCGCGACAATTATGCGACACATGCAAGTCGTTCACATTTTGCAAACTGTGGTGCGCGATTCCTACACCATTTTTTGAGTTGTGCGACGTTGGCAAATTTTGTAGGTTTGGCGAAAAATTTAGGTTGTGCAATTCTTGAAGCGAATCGGCGGGGCTATCTAAATTATTGGAATTGACGGATGACGTATTTGATGAAGCTGGCGCTATCTCGCGTTTGTAAACAAGGGCAACTTCTCCAAAGGCCCCTACCCCTATAGTTTTGATTTTGACAAACATGCCCCGCTTCATTTTGGCACCGCGTTTCAAGCGCATATAATTCGATTCCTTTCGGATCAAGATCTTGCGCATCTGAGCTTGGGCTTCCTCCGAAAGACCTATCTATTGTGATTGGCGTGATATAATTAAGTATCAAACGATTTACATCAGAATTGAACCATTATCAAAGAAAGAAAGAAAGAAAGAAGATAACGCTGCTACATATATGATACAATTACTATTTATTGATATTTTACATATTAATTTTTGAAGTTATGTATTTTTTAATATAATAGATTCTATTATATAACGTAAGCACAAAAGAGTGGGAAATATTTATTTTTTAAGTGCGCTTAGATGTCATAGAATTTCATCAATTTTGGATATTTAAAATTGCTACACGTTTCCAGACTTCCCCAATTGCCGTAGAATTTGTTAATTTATTTTTGTTCCAACTAAATATAAATGTATTCCTTATAGATGCCTTAACCTATTCCATTAAATGTTGGCACATCAAATTTGCTCCCGAGTTCATGCCCTAACATTCTTAGCGTACCATATGTGCAGCCTTGACCAAACTCCAGAATAAAATTTTGTTCATCTTATATTTAGGTAAAAAAAAAATTCCCAGAAAATTCATCTATATCCATTATTCCTCAAAAAAATTTCAATTTTTTGAAATATATTATTTATTAGTCCAGATTACGGCATTTTTGAAAATGTACTACTGTAGTGAATCATACCTCCAAACTTAATGCTTCTATAAGCCATTATATCATCGAAAACACTTTAGATTTCTCATCACTGAGATTATGAGAAAGGAATTTTGAATCCCTTAGAAACAATTAAAGTTATGGCCAAAATAATGAGTATGAATTCAATATTGAATGTTACGTCAGCATGCGAACCCATTACCCCTCTAAGCATGCATTCATATTCTCTCGTAAAAATACTCATTTTTTTCTTATTCAACCTAAATAAATTCCTACAATTCTCATAAGAGTTATGTTAATCTACGTCATATTAGATGTGGTGAATGAGATAAAAAAAAATGGTGGCGACCTATTTTTTAGCCATTTTATTGGTGTCGCAGTCATCAAATTCTTGAAAAGAGAATAAAAAGGGTGCAGTACAGGATCCCCTAATTCCTATTTAAAACTAAATTACCCGAAAATACTTGTGGATATTATATACCCAAGATTACTGGCGCACGTGTCATCCATATTGATTGTTCAAATAAAATGTCAATATTGTTAACAAATGCAATATATCATAAAATTTTGGAAAATTCTCTTCATTTTCTATCTCTTCAGATTTCTTTCCTAATTTATGACGTATTTTATTAAGTTATACTAGAATAAATAATATTTAAATTTTTTTAGGTAATCATGGCTGAAAAATGACCATTAATGAGTAAATTACCTACATTTTATAATAAACCCATGGTATTATATTAAATTACCTACATTTTATAATAACCCATGGTATTATATTAAATTACTAATAACATCATAGGAAAACTTTAAATAACCGGCGGAAAAATCATTTTAAAAACCGGCGGAGCGATCATTATAAAAAAACCCGGAGGAGATCATTTTTTATAAAAAATACTCGCAATAATCCATTTTCGTAACTCGGTAAGTCGAGTTTATCGGATCTAACTTTGGTATAAATAGCAAGTGAAATAAGACAGAATTTATAAGATTATCTGTGCATTTAAAAACCTATTTTGTTTAAAAATAAACAGATGTTGCTATTTTATGTAAACGATACATCAATTTAATACAAAATGCATGATTGTGTTTTGAAAGCTAGTTATTTAAAGTGAAATTGATTTAATGATTATTTCTGTTATAATATTCTAAATAATGAATTCTTATTGGTTATTTTTTTAGGAATGTTCAACCGAGAGAAACTTTTTTGATTGGATAAAATGTATTTTACAATCAAAAAAGTATCTGAAGTGAGAAGTAAGAATTTAAAGGTTGATGTGTTAAGGGGATGGAAGGGGGGGGGTGTAAGTTCAAATTGGTCTTTGATAAAATTTAATCAGCTTTCTATTATTAACTTGTCAAAACCTGACGGTCATGTGAATATAAATAGGCGAATAGAAATTTGAATAAATCAGCTCTCATAGGCAAAATCCTTGAGTTGGACCATCCAAAATATAGGATCGATTTCATTTAACTTATTTTATTCCCCTAATATTTATTCCATTCCAATGTCAAAAGGATTAGAAATTTATTTGAAATATATATATATTGGGGGACTGGAAATCTCTCAATTTTTGAATTATTTAACCGGAAAGGCAGTCCAGTTTGCAACTATAAAATACCGGCAATGCAAGTTCGAAAAAACTAATTAACCGGAAATGAATTTCAGCATGTACAAAACTATAAAACACCCAAATTTGATTAAAAAAATTGATTTAACCGGAAATGAATTTCAGCATGTATAAAACTATAAAACACCCAAATTTGATAAAAAAAATTGATTTAACCGGAAATGAATTTCAGCATGTATAAAACTATAAAATACCCTCACAAATTTGAGAAAAAAAATAATTTAGCAGGAAATTCTTTCCAGCATATATAATCGATATAAATATCCACATTGAAAATTTGCCCTAAATTTCTGTGTAATTTTTTTTTACTAAGGAGTAATTTAAAAGTTCGCGATCAAATTGGCTGAAATTCAATGTAAATACTCTATATATGCCGGAATACATTACCGGCCAAATTAGATCTTTGAAGTTTATGAAATAGCCCCTCTATTGATTTATACTGTTATTGGATACATATATAATGTCATTAAAAATAAGAATATATTGAATTCCCCATAAAATTTAATAAAGTTAAAGATAAATAAGTTTATTTCCAAAAAAAAAAAGTGAAAATGGACATAAAAAAATGATTTTTTTTCTCCACAAATTTTCATCTTTATCTTGGCAAATTTATTTTCTTGTAAGTTGTAACTCCCAAATATTTTATTTTCCTCGCGTTTTCAAAATTATTATCAAAATATTCAAATTAGAATAACTACTCGCAGGATTCAGGAACACCTTCAAATTTTGCAGATAATTTGCGATCTTTATCTTAAGATCTGGATTTGATTCGTTACACACGTCAATCATTTATTGATTTTTGCGTTACCGTCTCATTTTTCAGAAACGTAATGATCAGTCAGTATAATTAACGGTATACGTTTAAATTTTTTTTTGAAAGTCACTCAGCCCGTTTTAACTAAGATTTCTTGAGAGAGCTAGATCCAATAATATAATAATAACTTGACTGACGATGCATTCATTAAAGGTGTACATCAATTAAAACAGCTGAGGATGCCATTTTGATTACCCATATAATTATTAAAAAATTTAACAATTTATTCCTGTGTCTGACGCAAACTTTATTAAAGAATTGCCTGATCATCGAGATAATAAGGAAGCAAGTTATCAATTTAATAGTAGCTTTTAACAAGAGAATAATTACCATATGGGTTAACAAAATGGCGGGTCCAGCTGATTTGCATTCAACGACGCTTTCAAATGCATTATTAAGAATGCATGGTCAGTTTAGTTATTATTATATGTCATTGGCTAGATCACCCTAACACAATATTCGAGCATGCAAAAAAAATCGATATTATTATAATAAAACAAACTTTCGCCATTTCTTTTTCGAGCTGCATACGCCGCTCCTGCCTAGCCTTGTGATTCCTGAAAACGTTCTCCATGTGTTGCTCCATGAAAAACTTGTATGCCCTGGGCGAATAATTTTTGATCCTTTGCTTCGTGTAACCGTGATCACTGAAAGGGGCGGCGCTCGCGATTTCTGCGGCAACCAATGGCAATCGCGTATTATCCGAGGCCGATCTGCAATTATCGGAAGAACTGTTACTTTTATCGCTGGAATGATCGGATAATTTTGTTCCGGTCTCATTGTTAGCCGGATGAGATAAAGTTTCGAGCAATTCTTTAAAGCTTCGGATACGAGTCAAATTCGTCATTTTGTCGGGGCAATCGTTATTAGTCAGGCTTTCGTAGTGGATTTGCTTCGGGCTGGTGGATTCGGAGTATAAGCTACGCGAGGTTACGGGTAAAGGTTGCGCAAAGTTTTCTCTAGGCATCGAAACCTTGCGACTCTCCGCCAAATGCATCAGCACCAGCCGCGAACCCCGTTTTTCTAGCTCCTTGAGCTGGTTTTCGTCCAAATCAGGGTGCCTCATTTTGGGACAGTAAAATCCGTCGTAGCCATTTGCATTGGATTTGGTGCAGCCTTGATTGTCGGAGGAAATTTTGAAGGGAGAAATCGGGAGGCCCAAATTTTGCCCGCAACGATTATTATTAAGATTGAAGTTCGGGTAGAGCGACAAGGAGTTAAAGGGTAAATCGTAAGGGTTGGCGTTATTATTCTTGGGTTGAGAAAATGGGACCTCATATCGATTATCACGTGATAATTCCACTCTGTCATAAACGCTCTGTCAAATCATTTTTAAGCACATTATATATGTATATTTTTTTTGATGAGTTATATTTAAAATGTCTAACAATTTATTACTAGCATTGGAAATGGGAGAGGGGGAGGTGGTGATAAAAATAAATTATCCTATGAGGGGAGGGGATAGACTTAAGGGCAAAATTTATGAGGTGACTCATTGTGATCGATAACTTTTAGAAATAATTCATTTGGAAAAGAGGTGCCATATAAGGTGTATATATATGTATACATTTAGACTTAGGAGGTATGCTTTTGGAATGAGATCCGAGAAAAATAGGTCATGATTGCGAGGGATCTAAGAAATTGAAAATGGTATCCCTATCTATTCAGTTACATTTTTAAGATTGTATTTGTATCTGGGTCGGGATTTTACAAACATGCTATATGCTAGATTTTAATCAAATATTTTGCATAAAAAATCCAAATCTTTCTATTAAACGAAAATCTTTTGTGATTTTTATTCAAAAAAAAAATCATTAAGTGGTGAGATCGATAACTTTTAGAAATAATTCATTTGGAAAAGAGGTGGCATATAAGGTAATAAATTTACACTTAGGAGGTATGCTTTTGGAATGAGATCCGAGAAAAATAGGTCATGATGGCGAGGGATCTAAAAATATTGAAAATGGTATCCCTATCTATTCAGTTACATTTTTAAGATTGTATTTGTATCTGGATCAGGATTTTACAAACTTGCTAAATGCTAGATTTCAATCAAATATTTTGCACAGAAAATCCAAATCTTTCTTTTAAAAGAAAATGTTTTGTGATCTTGAAGTTTAATTTTTTAAAATGTAAAATAAAAAAAGAAATTTTCAAATGCTCATCATTTGAGGATTTTTGTTAAATCCTATTTTAGATGCTTTAAAAAAATATATAATCAATCTATATTTGAAAAGAATATCTTTCGTTGAATAGTTTATATAGATAATAGAGGTCTCCAAACTGAGAATTTATCAGAGGAAGACCCTAATGGGATTTTGTTGCCCAGTCCAGTTTCAATTTTTTTTTTACTATGGTTGTCCAGCTTGGCTATTGGGTAATAGTTAAATTAAAAACACTGTACTTTATGGATTATCACTTCTATCAAATATCAGAATTCATCTCAATAAATTGCATAATATGTCCTATTTCAGTCACTTTTTCCAACAGAAAATACAAAAAAAACCTAACCTGGTCTTAATAAAAATTTTTCAGACCTGGGCATCGCATATCTCTAATAGGTACACATCTTGTTTTTCATTCACAATTTATTGAGTGAAAAAGAAATAAATTTTTTTTTAATCTCAAAATTTCAACGATGGTTTTAAATGGAGTGCCTGGATAGCATTCGTTGTTTGCTAATAACCAATACAAAAATTTTTTAAATTAAGAAAAGTTAAAATCATCTTTTTTATATGTAATTTCAGTTATAAAATACTTTTCCTTTTTAAATGAAACCTGTAGTCATAATATAATTTCATTATATACTTTATTCTAATTTTATTGCTCAACAAAATTTTTAAAAGATAAAGAAATAGGAAAAGGAATTAAAAATGCTGTCTTTATCATAAGGCCTAATATTTTTATTTTTAAAGTCTTTTTTCTTATCTATTAATCTGTAGATCAATTTTATTTCCTCTCATAGATTTAAGGTTTTATAAGCTATTTATTTTATATATTAAATTTATATAAAAAATTATCCTTTTGGGTATTAATCAGTGGTATTGTATAAAATGAAAGTATTGACAAATACTGTATAATAAATAGCACGAGTGTCTGCACTTCTGGTTTTAACATTTTATCAAGTTTCAACTTCTCTCTTTCAGAACATCAAACATCGTTCATTTCAAAATAAATTATTCAAATTTTTATATATAAATTGCTTCTTATTTATTTGGCACACATCTGATCCAATAATTTTTTTTTAGTCTGACCCAATCTGGTCCGAGAAATTTTTTTTGGCTGATCAATCCAAAATTTTGTTTAAAGATCCAAACCTAAACTAATATTTTATTTTAGAAATTGGTCTAAGTCCAATTTTTTTTTATTGAATTGTTTAAGAAATCTGATAATTCAAGGAAATTGGAAAAATAATACTTAAAATAAATAACAATTTTTCAATTAAGAAACAAAAATAATTTTGTATCTTGTCTAGGTCTTAGTCTGTTTAAAATCAATAACCAAAGTCCATATCAAGTTTTTCTGAATATTGGTCTATGCAGGGTTCTACCTATGGCCATTTTTTTTTTAAATCAAAGATGTAAAATACTAATAAAGGGTGAATTTTTACTATTTTTCTACACGTAAAATTTTTTTATTTATATTTTTTACTAGGTAATTAGATTACAAATATTAACACCAACAAGCATTTAATATTAGATATTTGAGCAAACCCACTAAGTTAATGCAAAAAACACTATGAAACATACTGCATATATTTTATAAACTTTTAACTGTTTTGCAAGATTTTAATGCCTTTGCAGGATTTTAACTATTTAGCAGGAATTAAGTCACATTTTTTTTTACTATTTTTAAATTAAATATAAATTAATAACCATATAAAACAATAAACAATTAATCTATAAATTCAAAATTATATTTAAGATTAAAAGTCTTATAATAGGTAGGCCTAATTTATAGTAAACATGTTTTGATCTAAGGTGCAGTATTTAAGGCTATGTTATTTATAAAATTAAGTATCAAAAAATAGGTATAATTTATAAATATGGAGTGAAATGATGATAAAGCTATGAAAATGTAAAAAACATATGTTTCAAAAAAAATAAGCAATACTATTATTAAAATAAAAGCTAAATTTATTAAAAAGGTATATATTTCTGAAATATTATGTAAAATAAACAACTATGAAGAATCAGCTTCGATTTTGATAACCTTAAATACTACACCACTTGAACAAAATGCATTTAGTATAAATATTATTTTGAAAATTAAATAAAACTTATTGTCTACAAAGTTTTATGGTTATATAGAAGATAAAAATATTTAAGGCAAGATACCATCCTCAATACAAACTCAATAAAAAACATTTAATAAAGGTACAAGATACAATCCCCAATACAAACTCAATTAAAGACTTGAATTAAATGTTTCCAAGACGTGAACCATCCTACAAGCCACAGGTTTATTAATTTTTATTTCAGAAGGAGTCAGATTGGGAAATTTTTATTTATTAAATATCAAAATAATCTAATCTACCTTTATTCTTGTTGAATTATTTGTGTTGTAAGATAATGGCGTTGATTGATAATATAATATAGATGCACACGTAGGAAGATTTAAATTAGTGACCTTTGGAGATGATTTATGTGAAGGGGCTATAAAAAAGTGTAAGATAACTTTAATCAATATTTTATCTAATAATTTTACAAGCTTGATTCTCTGTGTGCGATTGATATGTAAAGGTTGATAATTGATAATCTGGTTTTTGAATTAATTTAATATTATTTGTGTATTTGTTCTTGTTTAAAGCTATATTAGCATCATTGAATTTGTAAGATTCCATTTGTTCATAATCTTTACTTTGCTTTTTCTAAATATATAAAAATATAAATATAATTCCTACTTCAGAGTTGGAATTTATATCCAATGCAAATTGGCGTTCTTTGTATACATTTAAATTCTCAAACGGCAGTAAACTATTGCGAATCTCTTCTAATGCTTGTTTATGATGTTGGCTTACACTTCGAGTCAATGGTTTCTTATATTGATTCATATTGTTAGGAATAACTTTGAAATAATTGTTTTAATCATCATTAGTATGTGATTAGGAATAGGAATTTTTAAAATATTTTATGAATATAAAGTATCTAATATAAAATCGAATGACATGATAGTAATAGTTGACTTCGTTACTCATTTTGACAGCTTGTTAAAAATAAATAAAATATTATTATTTTTTTGAATACAATATTATTTCAAAAAATGATTTATAATATTTTATTACAATTTATGAAAATTAGCATGGTCTAGTAAATAAAAATATTATTTAACTTAATTCAATTAAAGTGCTAATTCAAAAAAAAAGATAATAATTATAAAAATACTGATAGAAAAAGGTAATTATATAGAAAATTTTTTAATATTTGAATTTTATAGTATTACTTTCAATACCTTACTCAGTAAAGCCAAATATTTTTATCTTATCAAATATCTCAACCAGATTTCAATACCCTAACATCTTCCCCTTAACCTCCATCCCTTCTTCCACCTTTTGTGTTATAATTATTCTCACTATAATTCAAGACAATATAAAGCATTAACCTTTGTTATTGAGCTAAGTAGTTCACAAAAAAAATGTTTTTTTTCATAACTATTGTAAGAAAAATTAATGGAGACGATATGAAAACAATTACTATATATTTTAGAGCTCAATTCAATTGCTTTGGTATTTAAGATGAAGAGCTGCGTATTCAAAACATTGTAATTGCACATTATTTTACATTCAAAAATTCGTACTTTTAATTTTTTTTGTCAAATATTTAAATTAATTAATTAATCAATTCAATTTTTTTTTATCAATCAAGCACCTAAATTTTTTAATTTTTTTTTCCAAACATTTAAATTAATAATAAATTGTAATCACAATGATTTAGATTTCATTTAATAACAATTGTTTAATATAATCGCCATATTAATTGGTAAGTCTTAGTAATATATAATATTAATACATTTTGTTATTATATGATTAATTATATTTATTTAGTTTAATAAGGCCTGCTGTAATTTAAGGTTAATCCATTATTCCAATTATGATTACAAATTACAACTATTAGGTCAATTAGCCCCATATAGTGTAAATTAAAGTTTTTTAAATTGAAATTATAATTACTAAAGACTAGTATGGAGGGCTTATTGGTTAACCTTTTTTATGAATTGTTGGCATATGAATAAATTTTATTTCAACATTTTTTTTTTCGATGCATGTAGTACTTCTATTTATTCTACTTTATATTTTAAAGGTCTTTTATTTATAATATTATTTTATTGGTTCGTATATTGTTTTGCGGCTATAAATCAAATATTTAAAGTATCGATAATTGTAAAAGTTAATTTATTTCATTGCTGAAATAATATTCAAATGTTTTTTGCATCCTATTAATTTTACCTAGATATATATATACATACACTTATAAATTGTGATGAAGATCATTATTTTATTACTTAAATATATATCTTTAACTCTTATTTAACTCGATCCTTAAAATCCCTAAAAAAATACAACATATGATATTAGAAATAAACCATTTTATAATTTCGTTGCATGAGAATTAAGATATATTATTATATCCACCTTTTATCAAAAATGACTTATTTGCATAAATCAATTTTTTATAATTATACCATTCTATTTACATTAAAAAATTTAAAATATTTTGAAAGTAGCCCAAATTAAATTTAATACTAGGTCACAGGCGCGTACGCAGGAATTTGGTCTGGGGGGGGGGGGATAATAAATTTTTTTAAGAAATAATATTTTTAATTAAAAATACTAAGCATAAATTTATTAGGATTAATAACTTTTCTAATACACAATTTTAAACTAATGTGAATTAAAAAATTATATATATAAACCGGCATTTAAATGTGAATCATAAAATATAAAGTGAATATAACCCACGATATGAATCACCTAAATGACCCAAAATTGAAATTTGAATTTTTTGAGCTTTTAAAATATATAAAGTATAAAAAATTTAAATGTTGTAAATATAAATTAATACACAAAAAGTTTCTTAGGAATAATTGTATTTTGTATGTTTTGAGCTAATTTTTCAATTATCAATCCTTGCTTGGCGTTAATAAATGTCTATGAATATTCAAAAGATCCAAATCATTCAATCTACTTTCAGATGTTGTATTTCATAGGTATGTTTTTCACAGACTTGCAGGCCCGGCCCCTGAGCCGGACCGTATTTTAATTTTTTTAAATATACCCGGGCCGGGCTCGTAATTTTTTTTTTAAAAACACCCGGGCTGGGCCTGAAAATTTTTTAAGAAAAAATATCCGAGCCGAGTTGTATATTTTAAAACCAAATATTTGAAATCGCCATTATTAGCTATAAATATCAAAAATAAATATAATTTATTTTAAAAAATTCGGGCTAAGCCAGCCGGGCCGGGCCTGAAAATTTTTTTAAAAAAAACCCGGGCCGGAAAAAATTTTAAAATAAAATCTGGGCCTGGTCCTGCAAATGGTACCTCTGCAAGGCTCTGTTATTCTTCTTAAAAAAGTGAATGTTCTCTCATTAGTTTACTAAAGAGCTGCTAATATATATATAACCATTTTAATAATTGGGAGTATAATCTAAAATGTGTTTGAAATAAAAAGCATCCATAGCATTTTTTGGGACTGTATCAACCATAGTTAATCTTTTAATCATAGTTATTCAGCTAATAAGGCATCATAAGATATTTTAACATCTTCATGATAAAAATATAACAAATATTTATATTTTTTTTCTATCACCATATGAAAAAGGTTGGGAGAGGGGACATTTGTTTTATAATACTCTTCTACTGATCCTATATTAATGTTTTGATGATGAGCTTGCTTGCTGCAAGTCGAGGGGGACAAATATTTAACACGTATAGCTCTGCTTTTGACTCAACAATAACATATAAAATATGAAATTCTTCAACAACACTAGCTCTATTTCCTTGAGTTCTAATAAAATGCTCTCCGCTATTCTCATCTTCTTAATCAAGTCAATGTTATGTTTTTAAAAGTATTACATAAAATAGTTGTATAATTAAATAATACATTCTAATGAGAAAAAAAATTTGGAATAAGTATTGAATCCAATAATTTTCTTGCTTCTGAGGAAATATTTCTTTCAAGCCATTGTGATATTTCAGTAATAGCATTAATAATCAGCTCTTCTAACTCCAAAATAGCTGTTACTGTGGCGGAGACTCGATCTCGTTGGACAAGCTTGCAATTTTTTTCTCCCTGTTGGACAAGGAGTTTCAGAGATAATTATTATTTTATTAGAAATTTAGATAAATATTACGCCACTAAAATTTGAAAATAATAGGTAAATTACGCCAAGGAAAACTTGAAATCGAAATTGATTGATAAAATAACTTAGTAGATGAATGTGATAAATAAATATAATAAATATATATATATATAGTATATATGAGATAAGAATAAATATTAACAAATATAAATTAATATTAACTAATATATTTTTGAAAAATATAATCCGGCATCGGCATTTTTTGGCTTTGTGGGGAGATTTGTCCCCCTGTCCCCCCTCCCGCTGCGTACGCGCCTGCTAGATCTACAATCAAAACAATAGTTACTTAGTTTTTAATATTGCTCCTCTTCTATAAAATTATAAGTGGAGATAGATTATTCTAATTCTCAGGAGACGATTTGTTCAATCATAAAATAATATCATCATTTTATTTTGAAACATGTTATTTTTCTTGTTATTATTATTCAAATTTTTATTTGATTTTTACAACAAATATTTTATTAGCTTTTTTAATAAATCTATATTATAATTTTCCGATGTCCTCACTACGTCATTGTGTCGTCATGTCATCGCTACGTCATGTCATCGGTACGTATTTATTTTATTTTTTTTATTTGTTGTAATTCAAAGTTGTAAGTATGAATAACACTTTTTATATTACTTAATCCTTTCTTTATTTTTTAGATTACCTTATCAATATTCATGTTCATATTATCAATTACACATTAATGAAATCTTTTTTATTTGTAAGTATGAATAAAACTTTTTATATCACTTAATCCTTTATATTCATGTCATATTATCAATTACACATTAATGAAATCTTTTTTATAGAATATAATTTACAGATTAATATATTTGATGGTGTACACATACCTAATCTTTTAATTGATAAAACCTCAAATTTGTAAGTATTAATAAAACTTTTTATATCACTTAATCCTTTCTTTATTTTTTGGATTACCTTATCAATATTCATGTCATATTATCAATTACACATTAATCAAATCTTTTTTATAGAATATAATTTACGAATAATGCAAAGATCATATGAAAACTTTTTAAGAAGATAACCAAGTATATTCTTTCTCAAAATAAAACCTATATTAGTATTTTGATGTTAAATGTTAGTCTTATGTTATTATTTTTATAAAGTAATATATTTTACCCATAGTCTAATTGGTAAATCAGAGATTTCCTCTTCATTAATTATAAAAATGCAAAGATCATATGAAAACTTTTTATTTTCACTCAATTCTTATTTTGTTTTTTATCTATGTTTATTTTATACACCCAGTTGCCTCCAAATGATATTTCTATCACCACTACCACAATCCCTATGCCACCTCTGCCTAATTTTTAACAAATATAAGCATTTAATTCCACTATCATCCACCTAACTAGGAGTTAATATAAATAATACTTTATCCGATTCCCTGATGAACTTTCATGAATATTTAGAAAGATGTTCAAACGAGAAGGTGTAGTGCGGTCAATTTCATTAGCATTATTAATGGGAAAATATGCTGTAGTTTTGTCATGGCCTTTATAACAATACTTACGACCGTTTTATGGTTGAGTTGACAATGTCGTTCATGATTCTATTTTAGAGGGGGATACCAAGACTGACACTTTGGCAGAAATATTATTTTGCGTTCTTCTTTTACCAGTAGCCCAGGGCATCAGCTTTATCAGGACGCAATGGGTGTTGTACACTGCTTTGGTAATCCGTCATTATTCATTACTTTCACCTACAACCTTAAATGGGATGATATTATACATTAATTATTATTTCTTCTGCAGACGACTGCCCAGATTTATCGCTTTTTCCATCAAAAATTAAAATGTTATAAAGGATTTGCTCTTAATTTTACCAGACGCATAAAATAATAATTAATCCTCATCATTTTTTTAAAAAATTACCTAAATGCAAGAAAAACACATTTCTTAAAAAATATATAAATAAATTGCATATAAGTTTCATTAGTATTGAATGGCATTTTTTAAATAGATAGCATTTTTTTGTACTTAATATAAAGATACAGATATCCCTTATCAAATTTTTTGATAAAAGGAGTTAACCCACTAATTGGTAAATCCGAGATTTCCCCTTATGTGATGATAAATTATTTAGAAATTTAACTATCTCCGGGTTTGGGAAAAGTTTTGAAAATTAATATAGGTTGGACTAGGCTTGGGAAATATTCCTCAAGATTAATATTTGCTTGCACCTGACTTGGGAATATCTTTTACAAATTATTATGGGTCGGGCTAGGAAAAAATTTTAAAAATTATTATGGGTTGAGCTAGGCTTGAGAAATTTTTTTTTTAAAAATTATAAGGTCTTGGACGCTTGGAAATTTTTTCCAAATATTATGAGCTTGGACCTGGCTTGAAATTTTTTAATGTTAAATGTTAGTCTTATGTAATCAGTAATTTATTTACAAAGAATTTTGGTATTGGGTACAAGCTCATTTAAATATATTTTGACTCATATAATAGCTTCCACTCTTAGTCCTAATGGGTTGGACTCAATGACATTGCTTGGACTTGACCTAAATGAAGGGGGGGGGGAGGGGGTTTAAAAATAATATAAATTGGATATGATTTTTAAATAAAAGGTAACATCTTTCTTAAAAAAAACGAATAAAATTCTCATTCTCCGTCATTTTTGACGGGCTATCTACTAGTTTTAATTAATATTAGAATAACACCTTATTTTATTATTTCAATTATAATCATTATATTTTTTAAATTTCAATATATGTTTTGTGTATATGTTTTGTGAATATGTTTTGTGTATATGTTTTAGAATTTTTCTTATAAAAATAATAAATATATGATTTAAATATAATACGATATAAAACTATCAAAAATTACTTTGACGGAATTTAGCTAATACCCCTGCCTTCCATTAATCTTTTAGTTTTATTAATGAAATTTCGTACTTTATTAAAGAAAGTTATATTTCGAATTTAATCAAGTTATTTAAAATAAATAGGCTGCACGAGTTTCAATTGCATTGAAATATCGTAGTATACGTTAGTCTTTTATTTAAATATTTCTCAATCAATTATAACGCAAACATAAACTCAAAAATACCTACATATAATTAATAAAATATATACCGAATCGGCCCTCTGGAGTAATAAAACCTGTTGATGGAGCACCAAGTTAATTTTATCTTTATTCGATCATACGATTTAACAGTCAGCTTTGATCTGCTAACACATTCCGAGGTACAATTTATCACCCTCTCATTTAAAAAAAAAGGATTATGATACTGCTGATTAGTGCTAGGTATAACCTACACTTGTTAACCGATTCCGTAATATAATGCACTAAAAAATTAATAAATTCATCCAAAATTCAGCATTGAAAGCTGACGTTCTTTCACATCTAGAACCTCGAGACACTTCTTCTATAAATAACGGGGCCTGATGAACATGCTTTAGTTTGGGAAACCCGTGTACTAGGATTTTATCTGTATCAACATTTTTATAGTTTATAAATTTCTGAGAAATTACTCAAAATATGCATTTTTATTTAACAACAATGTATTCGTGTACTCGTTGTGGTTTCAGACCTGCTCATTAATAATAGTTAAAATTATTAAAACTTAGCATCCAAAGCCCTAAAACAATTTCGAGGGTATTTTATGATCAAATAGAGAAAGAGCTTTACAATCATACATCTTCATTTTTAATTATTTAAAGATTCCTGACCATCACCCGAGAATAATGACTAAATATTCTTAATTATTTATTATATTTTATATATAATTTCCCTTATGCTCTTGAAAACAATTTAAAACATCATTATGCTTATTTTAAATCTAATGATTTGTATAAGTTTAAGAAATCTAATACCTTATTATCATAACTATAAAATTATTCGATAATCGTGATATTTCAATCTTTCTTCTTTTATCATATCAAGAATGTTACCCCTAGTTATAGTGCAATATATTCACAACCACCATAAGCTTAGCCAGATACTTGCTAAGGCTAAAGGTGAAATAATATTAGGTTTTCCTATAAACAAATTTAGGTGACATATAGTGTATATAATCTTTTCAAGGAGGGAACGGGGGGGGGGGGGTGATGATATGTATTTTGTCGGCTTAAAATCATATTATAACAAGAACAGGCAAATTTTCTAAACGTGGAAACGTCCGCCCATTTCTCTCTACGCGCATGGCAGCGATGCCCAGTTGAAGCTTCAAACTTTTTGACGGACTTCTGTCGTAAAGTAAGCATTGCCTAAAAACATGATCAGCCGAAGATTTTTATTAATAGATTAAAAACCACCGAATAATTCGGTATTGATTAAATAACATCTGTAATTAACAAAATGAATCCATAACATTGATAATTATAATTTACGAGCCCCCTGCGGTTTTGACACTATCTAACGCCATAAATTTGCTACTGTTTCCTTAACCATTGTAAAATATAGATTTTTAATAGATTTATAATTATTTATTATTTAAAAATAGAATAAATTTTATGCTAGATATGCTACTTCTTTCACTTCAGCATTTTAAGAATATAATCTTCTGATCATCAATACATTTTATTTTAAAAAATTGTAATCGCTATAATGGTCCTAGTAGTGTAGTTAAACGGCTCATTTTGAGCCGATTTTTAAATACAGCTAACTCAATATTTTATCCAGAAAATATTACCTAAGTCTGAAGATTCTGCTCATAGAGGGAACAAAGGTCTAGACATATATTATCGAAATCTCGAGGTTTAGGCAATATTTTTCTGGCTAAAATATTGAGTTAGCCGTTTTTAAAAATCGGCTCAAAACGAGCCGTTTAACAACACTAAGTCACGAATTCAGTATACGAATTTCGTCTTAATGTTAATAAGCGGGTTAATGATGCTTACTACCAAGTGAATGTATAGAAATATTCTAAATACCAACCTAATTTGCTAAATACCGACCAAAATTTATTAAAATGTAATAATATCCTTATTATTTAATATTTATTATAACGGAATCACGTGGTCGAATCCGGCCTCCTATATGTCATTCCCCCAAGGATGGAACCAATGACATATAATAATACCTAGACTGACGATTTATTCATTAAAATGCATTTTAAGCGTCGTTAAAAGCAAATCAGCTGGACCCGCCATTTTGGTAACCTTTATAATAATTATTTTCATGTTAAAAACTAATATTAAATTGATAACTTACTTTCTTATTATCTCGATGATCAGGATATTCTTTAATAAAGTTTGCAAAATTAGGCTCTCGTTTAAAATTTTAATATTTATGACAGTAACCAAGATGGCGTCTCTAGCTGATTTGTATTGATGTACACTTTTAATGAATGAATTGTCAGTCTTGGTATTATTATGTGTCATTGGATGGAACCACCAAGTTAGATTAAGAAAAAAAACATGACCATTCTCGGGATTCGAACCCATGACTATGGGATAAGTAAGCCAAGTTCTTGCCGACTAGAAGGTTTTGAAAAATCGGTAGTGCCTATCCAAATGAAAAATAAAAAAAACACAAATTTGATAGGTAGTACCTTAAGGTAGTAAGCATCATTAACCTAATAAGCGCATGAGTGAACAAGTTGCATAACTAAAATTAGTTAACTAATTTTCGACAACTGAATTTCTGAAATCATATGTTATTCGTTATAATATTTTAAATGAACAACAAATGAGTTTTATATCCGTAAATTTCGTTTTAAAAATGCTTGAATATATGAACAAATTAGAATTTCACTAAATTCGTAACTAATTTAGTGTAGCAAAGACGAATTATTATCATATCGGGGAAATTTTTTTAAATATTTTATTTTTTTAAGAAAAAATAACTATTTTAAAACTGCATATTTACAATTATAATATAAATAAAACATTAACGAGAAAGTAGAATTACTATAATAAAAGTTTACACAATTTGATATTAAATTTAAAAAGAAAGAAAGAGAGAATTTAAAAAAAAAATGTATTAACATTATTTTGTTTTATAATTGTTATTAACCCAAAACATTATATAAAATTTAATACTAAAAAAACAAAATAAATTGTACACGAAATTTATGATAAATATTACAGAGAAGGCCTAGGGGGTGATTTTCCTTTCTTCTTATCTCTAGAAGCTGGCATAGCCGGTAGGGAAAATTTTCTTTTATGTTTGGGACTCAGTGCCAACAAATCTTTTAAATGCTGCTTTTCTTCCTTAGGATCCTGAGTTCCGCTGGCAAATTTTGGAAAGTCCTTCCCAATTTTCGCTGAATCATTTTTACTCGTATTATCCAGATATTTTGGGTCTTTCTCAACTGGGGGCAAATCTTTTTTAAACATGTTATCTTGATTCTTTGGGTCTTTCTCAACTTTACCTGAATCGTTTACAATCTTATCCAGATCCTTGATGACCTGCTCAATGTTTTGAGTTTTAAGGTGGTCGGATTTCTTGAGATCGGGCCCTAAAATTTTTTTGTTGCTACCTATCCTCGCCAACATATTAATTGGAGACGATGGGGGAGTTATTGAGGTAGGAGGGGTGGTAGAGAGTATTCCTTCTCCTTTATGAGATTCGATATCTGAAACCTTGGGAGATTCGATGTTGGTAAGCTTGGGAGATTCGTTGCTGGTAAGCTTACTTTGAGCCTTTAATAGAAAATAAAATGTGTACAATCATCAATGGGTTGAAATAGTGTGTTATATTGATGAAATTACGATTAATTATATAAACTCGAATATAATATAAAAATACGCCATTTCTCGCTCGGGGAAAAAAAAAGAGATTTCGGCCACTGTGCTGTATTTCCTCGCATATAATTTTAGGGTTAATTTTTTTTTTAAAAACGTTGTGAATTCAAAAATTCTTCAAAATATTTGGATATACAAATTATTAGATAGGGATATAGCTTTTTAATCTCAAAAAATGACCTTTTTCAAGCATAAAATTTCTTTTTATCGATTAATTTAGCCTTGAAAAAGTATACTATGTGTGACTAGCTTTATATATATTTAATTTACCAAAAATATATCGCTATCAACATCCATACCCTTTGTGAGGGCCTTTTTATCCACTAGCTTATGTTCTTCGGGTAAGGGAGGTGGTAACTAAAATAAATGAAATATATATACATATAAAATTGCCTATTGATAATGATAGGCTTCCAAAGAGAAGAAGAGAAGAGAAGAGAAGAGAAGAGAGAGAGAGAGAGAGAGAAGAGAAGAGAAGAGAGAAGAAAGAAAGAAAGAAAGAAAGAAAGAATATTGACCAAACATAAAATTTGGAATCTATGGGTAGGGTTATGAAATGCATGGGTATTCGAAATTTATCAATTAAATTATTTACTGAGGGCTTTTTTAAATTTAAAAAACACTGATTTTACTGAAAATGGAGAACATATAAAGCAGCTGTTTCAACCAAGAAAGTGGGAGGAGGGGGAGGGGGGGGGGTGGCTAACATTTTTTAAAGTTCCTGGGAGGAGGGGCAGGGGGGATTTGTTATTTATCATATTAAATTTACTATTAATTTAACACCTTGATATTTGAAATATAATTTATATTATATTTATAGCAATTTGCAGTTAATCTGCTTGGTGATTTCCATAGGCCTAGTCAGGATTTTGCTGGGAAGGGGGTTGGACATTATCAATTTTATGGAGATAATTCAACATATTGCGGGCTTTAGGTTATATTACATTTTTAAAAAAAAAATTAATTTTTTCGCCTAAATATAAATTCTGTTTTTCTAAACAATTATGAAATTATAAAAAGGCATTAATTTTAAAAAAATTACAAACTTATTTTTTTTTTTACTTTATTTTTGTTTACAATTATAGTGGTGTCTATATCGTATACATTTTTGGCTGAGTAAGTTGGTGTTGTTAAACGGCTCGTTTTGAGCCGATTTTTAAAAACCACTAACTCAATATTCCATCCAGAATAATATTACGCAAGCCTGAAGATTTTTCCTGTAGAAAGAACAAACGCTTGGACATCTAATGGCGAAATGGCGTGGCTTAGGCGATATTTTCCTTGCTAAAATATTGAGTTAGCCGTTTTTGAAAATCGTATCTAAACGAGTCGTTTGTTAAACAACACTAGGGTAAGTAGTGCGTAGGAAGGGAGATGGGTTATCAGCTTATTATTATACACGAGAACAAGCAAATTTCAGAGGAGACAGAAAATTTCCCCTTACCACCCCTCCCCCCCTGGGCTGCGCCTATCCTATGATGATCTTAATTATGTGCCACGATATTTTTGTAATATATTTATATTTTTTTTCTTCATTTTTCTTATGATTTATTTTAAATTTAAATTTAAATTTTATTAATTATAATTTTGAATATATTTAATATTTACAGTGTTGTGATGATTTGATGAAACATATTGACGATTATCATAAAAACCAATCCATATAAAAATAATTAAAATATAGGCAAAGCATTATTGAAAATTCTTTTATTCCTCCTTGTGTTATTTGGATAGGTTTTAAAGGTCATTAAAACATCAAAACACTGTAGTAAGAAATAAAATTTATCCATTGATATGTATATATAAATTAATCACTCATAGTCGTTCTTATTTATAGTGATATAATAGACCTTATAATTATATTATATTTTAGTTTTCAAATTTTAATTTTCATTTACAGTTATATAATAAATATAATTTACAATATATTCTCTGTTATGTTAAATAAAGTAGATATTATGCTATCATCTTGTACATGTATATAGTGGTGTTTTAAACATCTTATTTAGAAGATTTTTAATAATATGGGCTAAATCAAGATTTTCTCCAAACTTATAGAAGTCTCAATGTTTAGCCAAAAGAGGACCAACTTTTATGCTATGTTTTAGCCAAATCTCAAGAGTTAGTTAATGTTTGTCTGAATTTTGCCGTTTTTTGAAATAACCTTGGATGAGGTTTCTAACTACACTACGTATTAGTAAATAATGATTTTGAAATTTTGCTTTTAGTAGTGTTGAATATTTCAAAGAAAATTAATTTTAGAAACAGGTGAAGAGGGTGGGGTTAAAAATCGAGGGAGATAGAAGGGGGAAGGGGGTTAACAATGTTAAGAGAGTATAATTTTAGGATGAGGGGTGAGGGGGGTTATGATAAATTTTTTTCAAGGAGAGTACAATCGTCAGTGATTTAGGGGGAATGTAGAAGCCGTTGATATAGAATACCTACCCTGCGAATATCAGGCAATTTAATATTATATTAATTATATTAATATTTGTATAGATTTTTAAAATGTTAATGGGGAAAATTGTCTAAAGTTTATAGGGTATGTAGTTCAGGTATAATAAAATTTTTTTATAAATTTAAAAATCGTATTCTCGATACATGATTATCAATTTGGAGATTGCGACATTTTCCATCGATTCCGAAACCCCATATGATATTACATACCTTAATTTATTATGTATATTCTCTTCTCACAAAAACAAGAGTGATATATATATTTAAATTATCAGATGATATTTAACCTGCAAGACTCTTTTATCATCGTTCTTAATCAAGCTGATATTAGCCGGTGCCGTATACCTTCTCGGGGCTTGGATGGATACCTTGTAGGATTGCCTATGTCCACATGGATCAGTTACTCTCCGTGTGGGTGAAATGTGTATTTTATTGTCGAGGAAAGAACATTTTCCTATGTGCTTAGGTGCACTTGTTGTATCTTGGACCATTCCTGTTTGAGAATCCGAACTTTGAATAGATTCTTTTTTGTCATATTTGGCGGAGTCTCGTTTGAAGGTATATAGGCTATATTCGGGTTCCCTCTAATTATAGAGAGAATATAATATATTTTAAATAATTGCACATTCAAACGAAATTTATTCTTTTTCTTTCTTTCTTTCTTTCTTTCTTTCTTTCTTTCTTTCTTTCTTTCTTTCTTTCTTTCTTTCTTTCTTTCTTTCTTTCTTTCTTTCTTTCTTTCTTTCTTTCTTTCTTTCTTTTAAGCAATTGAAAAGAGATACAATTTTTTGAGCCCTTCTCACAATTCTCAACTAAAACTTCAATGAGGTTGGAGCACCTTGCTATAAACTCTTTTAAGAAAGATACAGCTGGAAAACTAGATTGTATATGGCCAATCTATCTCCAAAATCTTATTAAGCCACCCATCTCATCCACTAAATCATTATTAATCAATGACAATATTCATTAACAAAATGCTCAATAGTGAGTTCCCTTAGAATATAGATGACTTGCTGGTTCTGAATTTTCTAGTTTTCTTTATTATTGGTTATTTCTATTATTCTCAAATGTGTTTGAAACGATAAAGGATTTTAAGATATGAATAATTTTTTGAACGTTTAAATGACATGAAGGATCAACCATTCATTTGCAGTCGATGTTTCAATTAAAAAATGATAGATTCAATACGCATAAAAATTTTATTTAAAAACAAAGAACGAATTCTGTTAATTTGTAAATCTTATTTTTTTTGTATGGTTTGACTAATAAAAAAAATAATATTTTCTGCTTCCCTAATAATAAACTAGACGTTTCGTTATTAACTTAATGAATATAAATACAATGATTATATCACTCTGAGGCCTAACAAGGTGGAAACGATGACACCACACCAGTTTTATATTCAAATTTTTCGTATTAAATAAAAAAGGTTGGTGAAGTTCTCCCGATAGCTTTAGGAATTATTTTTCGCAGAATAACAGCAAAATAATAAGTAATCGAGTAAAATATACCCTTAGCGCATTGTTTAAAACCTAACAAAAAGAGGTTGGGGCTAAGCAATATCTTCGTGATTTTTCATAAAGAAGTTCCGATTATTTCATAAATATCAATTGAAAGATTAAAATTTTAATGAGATTTACTACTAATATCATACCTTCTCCCACAACAGTGGAAAAGACTATTCCAATTCGTGGGATTGGTAAATACCAAAGACGTTGTGCGATTATTATTGAATATATATTGAAATAAAGAAAGTATTTTACCGAACATCTATATGCACCTCAGTTAAATCTTAAATACTTAATGTAGTTTGCGAAAACGATTTTAAAATGTAGCTTAGAAAATACTCTTTTTAAAAAAAAATGAAAGTAATTAGTAACTTATGAAAATACATTTTAAAAGTATTCTATCCAACTCTGGTACTAGTGGCGAATCTTTATAAGTTAATTAAAAGTTATTTTTAAAATGCCCATCCCCAATTTTATGATACTATACCATTTCTTATATTTCTCATTTTCGCAGGGCTAATAGCTTACAAAAACTGTCATTCTTTAATTTTTTTATCCATGTCATAATTAATAAGTTGTCAAAAATATATTGATAAAGGCAAAACACATTTAAAAATTTTGACAGTTGACTATATGAAATTGGATAGTCGAAGTATCGGCCATTTTTATTCTCTCAAAAATTAATAACGTCTTGAGCCTAAATGAAAATATTTTTCTTTAAAAAAGAATTGAACTCACATTTCTGATGAGACCGCAAATCATGATGTAACACATGCACAAGCAACCTATAAAGATCAGCGCTAGCAAGAGCAAAAAAACCAAGAACCCGCCTAGTATTAATCCCATGTGACCCTGAAGGAGTTCATCTATCCTCCGATTACTATCCTGCGTTTCCCATCTTTGAATCTTTTGAAGTCGAGTTAGGCTAGAGCATGATCCGTCTTCCTCGTCGCTCGTATCGTTAGTACCGCACGAATTTATGCCGTTACATTTGTGCCTATTCGATATGCATCTAATCCAGATGTTGGGTCAGGATTGATTTTTTTTTTAAATTCAATATTGTGTTAGTCATTATAAGGTTTGGTTTATAACTAGTTAGTAAAGTCAAATAGTATATTTTACTACCCAGTAAAAAAAAAAATTCAGCACCAATAAAAGTATTTCTTCATTATTTATTGATAGTTTTTGATGATACCTAAACATTAATTATAGATCAATGCAAATCAAATATTAAAAAATAGAAGGAAGAATATTTTTTAAAAATATCGAGTTTCCTAGTGGAGTATAATTCAACTACTCTCAGACACCAGGAGGCACTCAGCCTGACAGCTTACATACACTTACTTATTTTGACCCATATATTAAAGTTATTCAATATTTCATTTTTGGGCGTTGTTACTTTCAATTGTTTAGAAAGTCGATGATAGATTGACGGTAAACAAAATTTAGATTTAATGGCATATGGAAAAAAAATAACCCTAAAATTTATCTTTGATTCATATACGTTAAAATATAAAAATCAAAATAGACCCCCTCCATGGAAATTGCTGGCTACGGGCCCTTAACATATGGCACTTAAATTTTCCCCCATAAACCTTATCGTATTATCTTTTAATATCAAACACAAACTAGATATATATATATAATTCTAGAGCCTTTGAAATGAATTGTATCGTTTATAAGTTAAAATTTTTACCCAGATACTTATCTCATATAGATATTATTTAAAGAGCTTTTGAAATTAATTTGGTAGTTTAAGCATTTAAATGGATTTCACCCATATGCCAATCTCATTTTATCATAATTATGCTCAAATTAAAACGAGATAGATTTGGAAATAAATTGTATCGTTTAGCAAATAAACATTTCACCCACCCATATGCCTATCCCATTTTCTTATAATACTCTCAAACGAAAACTTTTATTTAGAAAGATTCTTTAAAAACCTATAATCTAATCATTTCATAATTAATTTTTTAGAAGAAAATATTTGGTTGTAGCCAAAATTTAACAATTAAATAAGCCTTCAGCAAAACTAACTGTACTATTAACGCTAGAGATTTGCAAAAGCAGGCCAGTCCCGTACCCGGTCCGACGGGTCGGATCAATTATTTTTAAAAAAATCGAGTTCGGGCCGGTTCGGGCCTAGGAAAATTGAATGTTGAATCATATATCAAAAAAGGTCATATGACATACATCTTTTATTTTTGGCATGATAAATTTTTTATTTTTTTAAATAATTTCTATATTTAAATAAATTCGGGTTGGGCCGGGCTGGCAAAACATTTATTCAGAAATTTCGGGCCAGAACCGGACTTAATTAGGCCCGATATAGATCACTTAATTAACACAGCACATTGATTATATTTTCACTTATAAACAAAGATTTTTTTTTTTATGGCTTAATCCAAAAAATAAAAATAAAATATTATATACCTTCTCCCATGGGAGAAGGTTTAACATATGTGGCTTAAATATTGATTACTCTCGTAGCAAGAATTTGATTTGGAATGTTTATGATTGTGGATAGATGAGAAAATATTATTTAATTTAACCTGCCATTCCGGCACACAAATTCGTTTTTAATTGGCCAACACTTTCGTTCGTGGAAAAATACGACGGAAATCATGAAACCTTCGAAGGTTCCCACTCCCTTAGTTTCCCATTTCAGTAATAATATATTGCTCGAAGATTTTAAATCTTGAGGTTTAGTATAGCCTTAATTATTTGACAAATATGTATAAATGAATGAATTAATTTATCGTTACCGCATAAGCCAGCTGGAGTTAATAGGGTAGAATTTGAAATATTGGCGCTATTGTAAACCCTGATAGCATCTAAGCATTTTGCGTCTTTCAGAATTGGAGTAGGGCCTTCCACATCGAATTTGTAGTCGAATATCAAAGCAATTTTCATTCCTTAACCGGATATATAAAATCAACTATCTCAATGATGTTTGTATATCCGATCTTAATTATACCTTTCAAGTGAATATTTTTTTTTACTGTCAGAGAACAACCTCCCAAACAATTTCGGTAAGAAACTTTTATTTTTATTTAACTAATAAATAACGATGCGTATATTACATAAATTTAATTTATCTAAAATCGACTCATTTGGAACAAGAATTAATGAGATACAAGTAGTGCCATAAACTAGAAATCTGCAAATCACAACCCGATCCGTATTCAGCTCAAACGGGTTTTGAACCGGGCCGGGTCTATTTTTTAAAAATAATTTTTTTCGGTTCGGGCTGGTCCCAGGCTAGGCAGATAAATTAATTTTATTTTCATTTCCGGTTGGACTTTTCGGGACAAGTAAAATAAAAAAGATTGGAGAAATTTTTTCTAAAAAATTACGGGCCGGACTTGAAACATTAGGCCCGATACAGATCACTACTGTAAATGTAAACCCGTTATCAATATTCGTTACTTTATGAAAAAAGTAGCATTAGTAACTATTCATAAAAAAGTAACGCCCTTATACTCGTTAATTTTAAAAAAAAATATTCAATATAAATACACTGCGCAATAAATTTTAAAAATAAACCTTCTGGCGCTTTGATGATCGTAAGGCAAGTAATATTTTTGAGGTAATACTGATAATAAAAATCGTGCGATAATATCCTGGAACCATCTCTCATAACGATGTTACTGCAAGCGCTTCTAATTTCCGAACTCCTGATACCCCAGGGTTCCAGTGACAAAGTGAGTTCCGGAGGAAATTCCCAACCGATTTGGGTAGGCAGAGCAAAACATCCCATGAGCATAGATAGAACCGGGGCTATATTGTGATGACATAACGTTTTCATGGTTGAATGTGTCTGTTATTTGTTTTTTATTGTTATCTCTGTATGATCTGTCATATGTCAATATAATTTGATGGATGTTTTTTTTTCGAGTAAAAAGAGGCTAGGCGATAGAGGAGTCAGCTTGAGACACCATATGGCAATTTAATAAACATTAAGACAGTTTATTTAAAATATAATATTACCCTATCACATATCTGGACAACCTCATAATGCTCTAATCTGTTAAAGAAGGTTGGTCTCAGAAAACAATTGGAACAAGACAGAGTCTCCTCTTGCTGCATCTTATTATGCCTTTAACCCTCTGAACCAGAGCTGCTATTGGAGAAACAAATGCCATTCAAAAAACAATTTTTTTTTTTTTGTAATGCAATAATATTTTGTGAAATTTTTAAAATGTCACATTTTTGAAATGTCAAGATGGGCTTATCATTAATCTGAAAGGACGCGTATGCCAAGAAGGGTATCATATTTTGTATTAGTCGTAACATCTTGAAACAATATTAACTAGAATAAACTTTTATGATGACGATATATTCTTATTTGTTTACATAGGATTTGGAAGCGGGGGCATTATTTTTGTTCTACCTTTGCAGTTTCTTTCTTTCTTTCTTTCTTTCTTTCTTTATTTCTTTCTTTCTTTCTTCTGACGCAATTTTAAATCACCCATCTTATGTTTTATCTATCCTAAACTGTAATATATACGTACATGATTTTAAATATCTTCGGATATATGAACTACTTTGAATAATATATAAATGCAAGATAACCATTATATATGTCTTTCAGAAGTTTAGAGGTTATCCCCATGGAGTCAGGAAATAAAAAAAATATAATTGTGGGTTAGGAAATTAAGAAGGTAAATCTAGGGTGGGTTCTCTCCAATCTTTCTTCAATAAAAAACGCAATTTACCATAAAATACATTATTCTTATATTTACAGTTCCACAAGACTTATAAGCAAATATTAGGTTTAATTTTTCTTTTATATAGAACCCCCGTGTTTAGATTTAAATAATAGCCACTTCCCTCTCCCCGATAAGTGATGGCCCAATTCCTCCAAATCTTAAAGTGCGTGAGACGGTAAAAATAAAATAATCACGACTGAATTTATAGTAAATGCAAAAAATAGCGCGATAACGTTCTCCGAATATATGCTTAGATATCTAAAATTAATCAATTATATGAGATGTGCAGTGAAATATATTGTCTTAGCACGCGCTGTTTTTGCGCTTACCGTAAATTCAGCCTTCCCCTCAAGGTTGAACCATTCACCGTAACTCACTTAATCCGCTTTTGGAATTCGCTCTAACCCGAGTTTCCCGCTTAAAAATGAGGCGTTTTGCGACAAACTAGCCACTCAACTTCGCTATCGGATCATTATATCGGAATAATTTACTTGGACAAAGAAAGCATTCCTTTTTGTTGTGGGCGAATAAAAATGGATTACTAATAAAACAAATATTTGTTTTGAACAACTATATAGAAGATGGCGTCCGGATGATAAATTTAAAAATAAAATTTTTTTAAATTTAAAACATTAAAAACATTAAAAAACATTTTTAAAAAAACATTAAGATTAAAAACAAAACAAAAAACACAAATTTATGTTAAAAAATAAAAAAAACTTTTAAATTTCTGAAAAAAAGATATAAAAAACCAAAAAAAAAAAAATTTGGAACTCGTTTCATTATATTTTTGTTTTAATACAATTTATCTTTAAAACTTAATGATGATACTATATATATATATATTTATTTTCTATAGAATCATCGTAATTAATTACTATATAATATATAAAACAATGTCATAATCATATAAATCGTATGATCTATGATCGTGATAATCGACGATCAGAGTTGTTAAAAGATACTTTTTAAATGGATCTAGATACAGATACAACGTCTAAAATAATATCTAGATACAGATTATTTAATCAAAAATCTATCTAGATACAGATACCAAATTTTTATATCTAGATACTTGTGTCTAAATCCTTTAACAACTCTGTCGACGATACAAACAAATCACAAAGTAGCGTCTTTAGGAGCGGGTGCAGAGGTTACTCACCAAGCTTCCCGAAAAAAATTGAAAACTCCGTTAAACAATTTCTTTAGATGATGTTTTTCTTCAGTTTTTATTTCATTTTTTTTTCAACTTTTAAAATCATTTTTGTTTTTTTAAATATTTTAATATGTTTTTTTTACCGGAAATGAATTCTAGTTATGTTTAGAAAAACCTGCTAAGTAAATTTTTTAGAAAATTTTTTTACTTGATACTTTTCGAACTATAAAATATATATATTAAAAATATATATTCGTTTATTTATTTTTTCATAGATATTTTATATATATTTTTAAGTAACTCAATAGGTAACGGCAAAAATGTATCTGGAATTTATTTCTGTAGATATAGTGTTGTTATTGTTGTTAAAAAGTCGAGTTCTTACGAATTGCGACTCGAGTCGTACCGTATTTTTAAACGTATCGATTTGAGCTGATTATTTTAAAAGGGTTAACTCAATAAATGGGCCATCTGTTTTTAGTAATTTTAGCCGTTCGGCAACCATTACTGCATCTTTTCGCACTGGGCTTCGTACACCGATGAGTGGGTAAAATATTATCATGTTAAGCATCGAAATTTGGCGAATAGATGTCCAAGCATTTCTGCCAGCTATGAGCAAAATATTTTAGGCTCACATATGATAACTTTGGTTATAAACATCGGGCCGGTTTTTAAAACCGACCCGAATTGTGCTTTTTATCGACTCTAACTCGAAACACCTGTTGTTCCCATTATTTTAGATTTGTTTCGGGAATATATGTCGCATAAATCCAGGCAAAAATTTACCTGAAAATATAGATTTCGTTTCAAATAATTTAAAAATTTATAAAATTTAAAATTTAAAAAAATCGATAATAAAAAATAAATGTATATATATCATATCATAATGATTATAAAGCGTGTAAAAAAATAATATAAAATATATATATATTAATAAACAATACAAAATATAAGGTATATTCAATAGTATAATAATATACAACGCCAGGGAAAAATTATTAAATTTTAAATAATATAATTTGTAACAATTTAGTTGCTAAACATGCAGGCTAAAAAAAATAGAAAAAATCGATAATCGTTTTTCATTATTTTTTTTTTTAAAAAAGGAAATAATTATCTTTTATTCTTTAAAAAAAAAGGACATAAAATTTTGATTTTATTTAAAAATTATTTTTCGGCTAAAAAATTTGACAAATTTTAAAAAATATAAAATAAATGGAATGGGGCTTTTCTAGATAAAATTCTAAAATAAATCTGAAAAAATATTCGTTTTGAAAAATGAAAAAATAAATCAAAAAAAGGTAAGCTCATTTTTTTGTTAATTTTATATATTCTTTGTTTTGGTAGAATATTAGAAAGATATTTTTTTTTCAAACATGTGGATTAACTTAATAAAAGATTGTTTGGTATACTTGCATACAATGCTGTAAAGTTACTTAATGTCGTTAATGTCCACGTTTTTTTTAGTATCACGATACTCTCAAAAGTAACTTTTAGAGCTTAGACTTGTAATTGAACGAGGCAGTTAAATGGTTATATATTTTTCGTTTTTTAAAATAACCTTTGAAGAAAATTTCCAAATATAAGTTACATTTTTTAAGCTTTATTTGAATTTAAGATTCTATGCTAAAATTTTTAAAAAAAAATGAAACTTTTTAAAAAATGTCGGATGAAAACGTCGCTTTTTGAGATCGTTAAAACTCAAAAACACGTCAATCATTTTTTTTAAAAAAAATGAAATTTCGTATTTTATTAAAGAATTTGAAACTTATTATCCTTGAAATAAAATATGCTGTTGTACTATAGCCGGACACCCCCCTTTCCTCGAAAACTTTTCCCTAATCCATAAATTATAAAATAAAATATTTAGATTATCATACAAACAAGGTAAATATGATGATTAATAAACCATTTTTTATTAACACCCAGCAAAAATCAGGTGATTATTTTGAAAATTAAAAATATTAGAAATATAATATTGGAGGTTTGTGAGAGGGGTTGGTGGAGGTTAAGGTGGTACGTGCTTATGGGGTGAAGTTTATGTGGTGAAGGTTATGGGGTAGCAATCGTTTTAAGATATTAGGTAAGATAACAATACAATATAGAAACGGATATGTATATGCAAGAAATGAAATAAATGATATGTGCGTTTTCCAAAACCAGCGCAAGGTTCAAAAGAACTAAGATAGTTTGGCCACTAAGAAATTCACTGAATCAGATTACGGAAGAAGTTGATCTCAGACTAAGGGGTAGACTTACTACACAGATACAAAATAGCAATAACAATGTCTTGCATTTCTTATTGAAATTTAAAAGAAGAATAAAGAAGCAAATAGACATGGTTAGACTTGAAGAATCAGGATTATGCTCACAAGATTCCACAAATTTTAATCGAAACCATTTCCCTAGCATTTCTTCAAAGAATGATGAACTCCTAGAACGGTGCAATAGCCATCGGCAATTAATATTAGCCAAATGGAATAGATCTAGCAGGTTTAATATATATTTTTTTTCGAATAAAAAGGATGTTGTAATCGGGGTTAATAAGTGTAACAGGTTTTATGGCAAATTTGTCTTAAATTTATAGCATATGGAATACATTGAGCCCTTCCTGGAAAACATTTCCAGCAAAATCAGTTTTTTCAAACTTCAAAACTAATTCCAGTAGATGTAGAGTAGAATAAGTTAATTGTAAAAAATTGATTCCCCAGGAAAATTGACCTGAAAAAAAATACGGGGCCCTGGAAAATTAGGCTGGAAGGGGGGGGGGCTTAGAGATAAAATACAAACCTTGGGTTGGGTCAAAAATAATTCTTTCAAGGGGATGGCTTGATAATAAAAAAAATATATAGTATCCGAGTGGAGTTATTCTTGCTGGCCCAGGTTTTAATATTAGTTATAAAAAAAATATTGCGATAAATTCAATATACAATGACTATATATAGTCACGTGATTTTTTTTAAAAAAAAGACATAGGTTGAGTCCTAGTTGTAATTTTAAAACTTCTTTCTATTTAGTCCAAGCTAAAAAGATTTTGGTTTGTCTTAAGTTTGCACATTTTGGCCAAGTCCAAAATATTTTATTTTAAAAAAAAAAATCGAATTGTTTCAAAACTTTCAGTAGTTTTAAAATTTTTAAATGAAATTTGTATGTATTTTAAAATTTTGAAATTTTTATAATTTTTCTGGACATGTTTTTAAATTTCAAACGTTTTACGAATCGTTATTTTTTGTTATTTTAGGCATAGCCAAAATATTACGTGTTTGCTGAGGGGCACCATTGGCGCAACCCGGCCTTTTTACGGCTTGGCCCTAGTTTTATATATTCAGGCCCTACCCAGATTTTTACGATTTAAAGTATTTGGTTTTAAAATATACTGCCCGGCTCGGGTATTTTTTTTAAAAAATAACCTTTTTAGTTTGGCCAGGCCTGTAGGATCTCTGATATATATGTTACTCGGTATATACAAATAATAAAACAAAAACGCGCATTCTTTTATCTAAATCCCCAAATAGCCTCTTTCTTTTATAGGATGCTAAATAGACATGACTGTTTAGAAATAAGATGAGCCAGAACCAAGGCTACATTGTTTCAAAAACCTCTATATCAAACCATATCCCATAACACAAAACAAACCATAATTTCATAATAATAAGACTCAAATTTATTTATTAAAAACATCAACAACAATCTCTATACATTAACACAAAAAAATATACCAAAATTTAATATAATTATTATCCATTTCTTCATCTCCCAAAGGTTCACAGCTCAAGCCATCCTTTCATAATAATAAGAATACATATCAAATTTCTTTATTAAAAAACACCAACAACAATATCTATACATTATCAAAAAAATTACAAATCATAAATATCTAATTATCTAATTCTTCATGTCCCAAAGGTCCATTATTAGTTCCTCGCTGACATCTTCTCGAATTAATCCAAACTCTTCATCCCAAAATGGATAACAAAAGAATCCTTTCCCATCAACCCATCATGTGTTCATCACCTCCTCTTTTTCCCCCAAGGAAAACTTAAATCCCCTGTCAGAAAATAACTGACATTTGATGTATTATATTAAATTTATTTCTTCTTTTTTTCAACAGCTACAACACATTGCTTTTCATTTTATTTCTTAACTGGATAGGAAAAGGATATTATGTGAATAAAGCCATATAACGAGTCAAATAAAATATTTCTTTCTTCTTGTCACGGTTGTCGTTTCCTATTCTTCTTAACTTATTAATATTTAAAATAATTAAGGCTTTTGTGATAAATTTTTTTTTTGAAAATGGAGGGGGGGGGGGGGGAGCGGGCTGAGAAATTTTCGGGGCGTCCAAATTTTCCCGGAAGTTGATTTATTGGGAGAACGTCAATCTTCCGTCGTCACGTTTCCCAATGTCAATTAACCCTATAAATAACAGAAAACAATTTTATCGCTGAACTAACTATGCCACAATTTTATATATTATTATTTCTCAGAGACCTGCAGGTAATTTTTTTAAATATCCGGGCCTGGCCGTATATTTTAAAACCAAATATTTGAAATCGTCATTATCAGCTATAAATATCATAAAATATATTTTTCGAAAATCCAGGCCTGGCCTGATAATTTTTTTTTTAAAAAAACCGGGCCGGGCCCTGCGGAAAAATTTTTAAAATCCGGGCCGGGCCGTAAAAATGGTACCTCAGCAGGTCTCTGTTATTTCTTATAAAGTTTAGTACCGAGTCTAGTGATCTGCATCGAGCCTAATTTTTCAAGGCCCGACCCGAATAATTTTTTGAAAAATTTTACCCTACCCGACCCCAAATAAAATTTTCTTTTATTTGTCCCGAAAAGCCCGACCGGAAATAAAAATAAAATGTTATTGGTTCCCGGCCGCCTGACCTAGAATTTATTATTAAATATAGGAAAATAAAATATTAGCGCCTTGTTTCTTGTAAGAGATATCAAAATTGTCAATTTGTTTTTACAAAATTTAATTTATATCTTATTTAAAAATCTAAGCCCGACCGGGCCCGAACCGGATTTTTTTTAGGAAAAATAGGCCCGGCCCGAAACCCGTTCATGCCGGGTAGGGCCGGACCGTAATTTGGAGATCTCTAACCGATACTATGGATATAACTTTTAACTTTTATTCCCATTTAAAACGCGACAAGTTTCGAAGCTAACTTTGACTCCTTCAAAAAGATGTTTATACTCTCACTCGATCAAACCATCGAATACATGGATACGCTGGATAATACGTACTCTAGATGCATATCTAAATTGATCAAAATGGAGAAAGTGGTCAAAATGACTTACTCCAAAAAAATGGTGAAATTTTTTTTCCCGCTCATATTATCAATCTTCTCTTCTCTTCTCTTCTCCTCTTGCCACCATATGATTTATTATCACATTTGTTTGGAAAGATAAATAAATCTTCTTTTTTTTGTGACTCCTCGGGGAGAAAAGAAAGAAAAAGAGAAGGATTGCAAAACTTTGATTGATTAAAAAATATATATATATTATATCGCATATCGATTTCTGCTTACAAAAAAAACTGTATACAATTTCAATTTTCTTTTTTTGGATGATATTTTTCTTAAAATTTGTTTTTCGTTTTATAATTTAAAATGGCCTGGGTTATAGAACTCACGGAATCATAGTTTTAATATGTAATATTCATTTGTTTTAGATTAGTGTAGTTAAAATTTCCTAACTTTTACCATCTCTATGGTGACTTAATCAATCTTTTAGCCTAAAAAAAATTGAATTAAGCCTCTCAGTTGAGTCTCAACTTGAGGATCGATTCGAAAATTTTTTGGATGAATACGTGACTACTCTGTTAGGTAGTTAAACAACACTAGTTTTAGATTATATTTTAAAATTTTTCAATATTTCATTTCATAAAAAACATGATAAGCAAAACAGGTCTTTCCAGCGGAACAACAAATCTCGCGACGAGGATAATAAATATGACGCACCTCACCAGAACGGGATCGGAATAGCTCCGAGCAAACTATCAAATTATTTATCTTCAAAGAAGATCAATATTAAAGGAGCACTTCGAAGCGAATCCCGCCTGAAGGAAAGATCCGAACATGATTCCTCATATCTGTTCGATGGCAAAATAAAGGAAAAGCGACATAAATTTAGAAATATTCCACCGTCTCATTATTACGAATCTCAATTTAATAAGAACTTGCCTCGAAATAAAGATAAAGAATATGGCCATTCAACCCCAAAACGCGTATGAATTTGCTTCCTTTTTTTTTTATTGAATTGATCATTAAGCTGCACATTTTTATTGTTTTTGGGGTACGAGATGATATTTAAAAGTTTAGGGGAGACCGGGGCTGAACGGAACTGATTTAGATGATAATATTTTGCCATTATTTTTAAAAATCGCATCGACAAAATTAAGTGCTTATAAGAAGTTATTTCCAACTTGAATTTAAACAATTTAGTCATAATATATACCTAGCAACAATGTTTAATCGAAAGCAAAACAGAGATGGACATAAGAAAATTTGGAAAAAGCTATCAATATTTACACTTAATTTTATTCAATCATGCATTTAAAAAAAATAATATATATATATTAATTCAAATTTGAATTGGATAATAATATTATATGATTAAAGAGAATGTCAATGGATTCACAGAGGAAAATCGTAAAATCTGACAAGGTTACTTTGCAGGATCTCGAATCGACATTTAATAACAATCGTTACACCTTAAAGTTTAAATATTTAATATTTAACATTAAATTTTTAATTATTTTTTTTAACAATTGAATTTATTAATAAATAATAAATTCTATTTAAACAAATATAAACACAATAGGTAATAAATATATCACAAATTCACAAAAACTTTTATTTATGGTAATTTGTTATTTATTTTTATATTATCTTTTACATAAGATCTTTCTTTTTCTTATTTCAATTCAATAATAATTTTTGTAATTTAGCAGGTCACAATTTTTTTTTATTAATATTTATTTATTTAAACAAAAATAATAATGAAATTTTAAAGGAATAAGCTAGATCAAGATACATTTCTCCCTGATTCGACGCACAAGGCCTTCAAAAAAAGTAACGAAAATTATTCTCGCGATACTCTCGATTCGTACGATAAAATATCATCGAAGATCAACAATTTAAGCCAACTTTTGGATGAGTGTAATGATTCGGAATTCGACAAAATCGGCGATATTCGAAATAACATTCCCAAATTTACTAATGATCAAATTTCCCGAAATTATACGTTGTACTTCGATTCTCTGACTAATCGGCAAAAGGGAAGAGGCCTAAAATTGCTGAAAGAAGGGGAAGAAGTCGAAACAGAGGACGTACAGGGGAGCGATTACAATCTATTTTCTTTTAAAGATCGCGGGAGACCTAAACACAAACGCGATCGAATTCCATTTAGGGATTACGTTAAAAAGGAAAATCTAGGCATGATGACATCGTCTCGAATAACGCAACATTTTAAAACCAATGGTTACCAATTGAACAATAAGGACGAAAACCCTAAAATCAAAGCTTTAACTATCTCGACAGCTCCATCCATATCCATTCCTCCTTCCCAGGTAACGCGGCTAAAAAATGGTAAGAAAAACGATGAAAAAATTCTATCAGAGGCCAAGGATAAATACAAAATTTATTCCGATATCCCCACGACAAAGCTAGAATCAAAAGGAAGCTTACACGTGGACGAAAACACGGACAACGACGATATACCTTCACTCCCAGGGGAAGAGGTACCTAAAACAGTCATTGCACAAAGAAACGGGTCTAAAACTGAAATTAAATCAGATCCATCCTCCTTATCCATATCAAGTTCTTCCAAGTCTACAATATTTAAATCGACTAAAAAATCTCACGAAGGTATCTTGAGCCGTAATTCGTCGAGCAGCAAATCTACCATCAGGGATCCCAAAAAAAGTCAGCTGCTCAACACTCCGAGCAAGATTCCTACTTACAAAAGGTCTGGCCATAGTTATTCATCATCACCATCCAGTAGTAGTGGTGAAATCAAGTCTCCAACCGTGAAGAAGTCTCCCAATAAAAATATTACTACTTCTCCTCGTCGCAAAAAATCCTCAAAACAACGCGACTTCGATTCAAATTCAAATTCTACCTCCAAATCTTCAGACACCTCGACTTTGCCTTCACCTATTTCGGAAGCGGAACAGCGCGTTAGCAAAAGTTAGTTCATAATCTATAAACGTTTTAGAATAAAAAATCACAAATAAAAACCCAAATTAATTTAAAAAATTTTTTTTTTTTAAATCCAAAGTCGTGTTTTGATTATCATTCCACCCCCCCCCCCCCCCCCAAAAAAAAAATTTACGCCAAATAATTGATTTTTTAATATTTTAATTTTAATTGAAGTAACTTATTTCAATGTAAAAGGGTGTGTCTAGTGTTGTTAAAAAAAGCAAAAATATGATCGATTTTTAAAAACGGTCCAATTCAGAGACCTTCATGGGCCGGGTATGGGCCAAATATTATATTTCCTAGCGGCCTAAGCCGGGCCAATGGGCTTGGGCTGGGTTTGGGCCTAAAATTCTTAAATTTAAATTTAGATTATTTAAAAAACAGTTGCTAATTTAAAGAAATATTGCCTTTTTTTTTCTTCTAATAATAGTAAATTTCAGTATTGTAAACAAAATGATTGCCTAAAATATTGTTTATTTTCATTAAATAATAATAAAAAAAAATTAAATTTTTTAGATATGGGCTTGGAGCCGGGTTTGGGAATTTTTTTTGATACTTATCATGGGCTTGGGCCGAGCTTAGGATTATTTTTAACATTATTAAAAAAAAAAATTACAGCGGGCCTGGGCCGCTTGGTCAAAAAAGACCATGAAAAAAGAGAAATCAAGAAAGAAAGTCTGGTTCAATTACGATTATAACCGAAATAATATTGAGCAAGCCTGGAGATTTTACTCATGGATGGCAGAAAGGTTTGGGGGTTCTACGTCAAATCTTGAGGCTTGCACAATATTATTTTGGCTAAGATGTTAATCGGGCCGTTTTGAAAAATCGACCTAAATGAGGGTTTTTAACAACACTAGGTGTGCCAAAAAGTCAAAAAAAATTTTTAAAAAAAAAATAATTCGCGTTTATACGATATACGGAGGCACGTACAGACTCGATTTCGTCAATAATAAATTAATTTTTAAATAATTTAGTTTTTAATAATTCCATAAACATTTAAAAGTTATATCAAAATTAATTTAATACAAACCACTAGTGTTGTTAAACGGCTCATTTAAAGCCGTTTTTTAAAAACGGCTAACTAGATATTTTAGCCAGAAAAATATTGCCTTAGCCTCGAGATTTCGCTAATAGATGTCCAAGCCTTTGCGCCATCTTGAACCAAAATCTTCAAGCTTTCATAATATTTTTCTGTATAATAATAAAGATTTACCTTGAATTCATAGTGGCGCGATTACGATCGCGATTTAACAGCTGATTGATTTTAAATCTGTTAACGAGATCAATTATTCTTTATTAAAATCATTATTCCTTAGATTATTATTAAAGTTTGAATTAAAGATAAAATTAATATTAATAAATAAAAATTGATTTCATAAACAGATTTTAAAAATCAATCAGCTGTAATTAAAGATAAAATTAATATTAATAAATAAAAATTGATCTCATAAACAGATTTTAAAAATCAATCAGCTGTAATTAAAGATAAAATTAATATTAATAAATAAAAATTGATCTCAAAAACAGATTTTAAAAATCAATCAGCTGTAATTAAAGATAAAATTAATATTAATAAATAAAAATTGATCTCAAAAACAGATTTTAAAAATCAATCAGCTGTAATTAAAGATAAAATTAATATTAATAAATAAAAATTGATCTCAAAAACAGATTTTAAAAATCAATCAGCTGTTAAATCGCGATCGCAATCGCGCCACTATGAATTCAAGGTTAGATGGGCTCAAATCGAGCCATTTAACAACACTAGGAAACACTATTGCGATAATTATATAAATTAATTTGTTTTTTGGAGTTTCAAGTTTATTTTTTTTAAAAAAAAACTTAATTTTTTTTGATAAATTTGTTATTAAAGATTAATTATTTTTTTGTTTGTTTACGAACACAAAATATTATTTAAAAAAAAATTGTTAGATGACCCATCTGTTAGCATTAAGGCAAAAGATTCTGATATGGATATAACTTCCACGCCAATATCCAACGATGTAAAAGTAACATCGAAGTCAGAATTCGAAAACGATTCACTGTCACTCAAAAAAGAAAAATCCGAGCTTAATGTTCAAGTTATTAATGGAAATCATGGCAGTGATATTGATAAAGAGACATCCAATCATTCCAATACCTACGAAAGTGACACGTCAGTATATAAAAGGCGCTCAAAGTTGTTAGTCAAAAAAGATGAGGTTATTGAAGATTTTCAAGGTTTGGACATAAATTCCACAAAAATTATCACCCCAAATTCGAATTCTTCTAGCGATTCGGATAAATCTAAGATGCTACGATCATCGGATCATTCATCAACAAATACTAGTCAAAATTCTCAGAGGAAAATTAGGACGTCCAAGTCAACGCTTCAGAATGGAGATAGCGAAAAAACTAGCTTGACGAGTAACGTTATACATAATTCATACGATGACGATAAATTTGATTCTTACGATGAAAATGAAGAGATCAAAGACAATGTTAATGGTGCGGAATCCGTTGGGAAAGATATGATAGGTTCAGTGATATTAAATAAAAATCCGTTTGAGGGCCCTGACAAATCTAGAACCACCGAACAACAAGATCTCTGTCCCGAGAATCTAATGGATAAGGAGGTGTACGAAAATATCAGAAAGTTAAACCAATTAGCCGGAAATCGAATTGAAGGGGAAGTAGAGAAAGAAAAACGTATAATAAAATTAGCTCCAGATAAGGACTCTGATGACGATAGCGATTCTACCATCAGTTCATCGGCGGGTTCTAATGATTCCATCGATTATGATTTATCGGCCCATATGGAGAAAGATTTTAGTTCTGGATCTAACGTAGATAAAAATCTTTCTAAAATTTCTTCGAATGCCGCAACAAATTTAAACGATAATGGTAATAATAATAGTTTTGGCAAGATAAACATGACGCGGAACGGGTTTATATCGAGCATGTTATCTTCCTTAGAAGAAGTCGAAGAAGAACGCGATTCGGATAATTCGAACATCTCGCCTAAACACCTCGATAGTCGTTTCAAAATCCAAGATGATGCAAAATTGGCATCCGTTGACAACTTGCAAATGACGGCATCTAATCCAACGCACCACGCGATATCTCGACAAATCCACGCTCTAAATGATACGGGGGAAGATACAGAAAAATTAAATAATCATGTTACAAAAATAGAGAAAAATGAGAACGCGAGACGAATTCATAAAAATCTTGATCTGGATTCGGATTCCGAAAGTGATTCTTTACCTATGCGACCCACCAACGAGGAGCGCAAAAAAATTGAGAAAAATCTGGATAACGCGTTGTCTTCGACGGATTCATCGCTATCCCTGAAATCTGACAAAAATGTTAATATTTGGTCAGGATCCACAAACAGAACTATAAAATTTAAATAACTATTAGACAAAACATAATTAATTAAAATTTACATTCATATGCGCAAAATCCATGCCGAATAATAATAATAAAAAATATATATTATATATTTGTTAAACTTTATTAACATCTTATTTCTGATTAAATCATGAGTTTGGTGGTTAAAGGAAGCCAAAGAGGGAAATGAAAATGGAAAGAGCAAAATATAATGTCGATGGAACTGATCGGGTAGAGGCGATATAATTAATGAATAAGTAGAAATAGGTGGATAGTTTATGTCCAACGAAAGGTGGACTAAGCGGGACACATCATGAAGATAACGGGTATGGAAATGGTAAATGACACTTGATACTATGGGGTAATAAGAGGGAGGGGGGAGAGGAAATTGGATTAAGCGTCTTAATTCATTTCCAGAAATCCCATTTTTTTTTGCAAAACGATTTCCTAAGCATGTTTCTAGCAAATTTTTTTCTTCTTTCCATAATAAAATATATAAAATAAAAACTTGATAAGGGCCGCATCTGACAACGTCTCAAGGCGTAATTTAATCGTTAACATAATTTAAAATAAATTGCGTTTTTTTAATAACGATTAAATGGTGTTCTCAAAAGTACCATCGACAAATATTGCAGATAGAATTCCTGAAATCCCTATTTCCCAACCTCATAGGATTTTCCATCTTATGTTTATCATTCTTTTCGACAAAATTATTTAATCCGTTTGGGAAATAAATGGATAAAAAAATTGCCGGAAACATGCCTTAGGAAACCGCTTAGATAGATCATAAATTTAACAAGTTGTAAACATTAAGATGATAGATAAAATTAACATTAAGAAGATAGGAAAAAGGTCATTTATAGGTTACGGAGATAACATAATAAATATACCTTTATTATTGGCTTGCTTTTTGCAAATTACGCAGATTACTATCGCGTCACTAGTGTAAATCGCTTTTATAACGAGGTCTTATGCTGGATTTATAGCTTTCAAAAATAAATATAACTAACTATATTATTAAATTAGCATTTGAAAGAACGTAGAATCCAGACTCTTAGTATGAATCAGAGACTTGTAAAATTGAATTTTTTGGACCAATCTCCTTCACGGGTTCGGTTTTAAAATAAGAGAAATGGATCAAGCACAGGTTCGGGTTTAAGAAAAAATAGGTTAGATAGAAGGAATGAAATCGCAAATAAAAATAATATTTGTATTGTTCTCAATTTTAAATTGTTATGAATTAAATTTATTCAGAGAATAGCTATGAAAATTTAATGAATGGTTATTTAATTCTATTTATTATAAGAAAGTAAATGTTACACATTTCCCACATTCAAATCAGGCAAAAAAAAGGATAAAAGGTAATATTCTTCGGGCAATGGACTTTATTGATGTTCGGGCCCTGTAGTATTCTATAATAAATCCAGCCTTATCCTGATGTATACTTTTTATAAGTTTTGCCTGTATCTATCATTTATAATATTTACACCAACTAACCAATTTATAGAATTAACCATCCCCCCCCTCCCTTATTTCGAGGTTGTATATCCATTTTCTTTCTCTCTATCGTCTTACTACACTAAAAATATTGCCATTACCTTATCGAGCATACAGAATTGAAGTGTATCAATGTTATTATTATTACGCTAAATATCTTCATATATTATTTTTGGTTTGGTCCAAACCTATTTAAATTATTTCCCCACTCATTCGACTTATCACCTATCCTTTTCTTATACCTTTAAGGTTAATTCCACATAATTAGCAGTCACATTTTAAGAGAATCAATGGTTATAAATATATATATGGTGAAATCAACAAAAAAAGTCGATTTTCAACCCGACTCCCTTCAATGTTTCTTAAATTAGTAAACTGTTTGGTAGTACATACTATGACTAAGAAAAAAAATAAATTTTACCTTCCAACACTGTTTACCCGCTAAGATATGGCCGTTTAGCGCGGAAAAATGGCATATTTTTGACAAAATGCACCTCATTTATTTTCAAATATCTCGAGTAATAATTAAGTTGAAAAATAATTTTTATTTTATTTTGTAGCTTAATAAAAGTTCTTTAAAATGATATAAAAGTAAATATGATGGACATTTTATTAATATCGAAAACCGGAAATGGCCATAGAAAAAAAAGGTATTTTTTTCAAAAATTTTTTTTGTATATAGATTCACACTGCTTTATATTTGTACAAAATCCTAGACTGGGATGAACATGGGTTTAGGAGTTATCACTCTTTATATGGCAAAAATTGAACAAATTTAACATTAATATCTTCATATTTTAATTTAATGAATAGTTATGAAATAATGTTAATTTAAAAATTATGTCTAAATGATAGGCCCTTACTTTTTTTTATAAAAAAATTTAGAGAGGTGGCTGGGATAAAGGTTTAAAACTTTAGTTAAATTTTATCTCGAAATTAAAATTACTTGACAAAATAATTTTAAATATTTAATTAGCATAAAATAATAAATTCAACAATAAATTTTCCCCCATATATTCAAAATTAAAAGAAAGGCTTAATATATTAATTGACGAGAATTCTAGATTATAAAACATTCAAACAATGAATAGCTTGATCGAACTACCCTCGAAACACTAACAAAACCCGCTGACGAATTGGTAGACTATTTAATTGAATATTTAACAATTTAATTCCTCATTTGTTTATAGCTTCACTGATCATTAATTTGAAACTTTTAAAAATCAATTTAAATGTTGGCAAATTCTTAGTTATTGTATACTTTTCAGAAAATTATGCATTTGTAATGTAGAACAATGCATAAGGATTAAATCAGGCCAATAATCAAGCCAGTATCAACTCTTATATTTTATTACCGTGAGAACAACATAATAAAAATGTAAATTTAGTGATTATATCAGGTTTAGAGCACAACGAATGTGCATGAAAATATTTTGGGTAAAGGCTGATTGCATTTTTTGAAACCGCACAAGTTATAAGTCCATGCGACATTTTGGGGGCCGGTACTAAACAGTTGGCAGCTCGAGCAAGCTTGCAACGTCCATATGAACATCACAAATTGACAACAATAGATTTATTTAACTATGCAAGAATAATATCCAAGTGGTAAATTATATATTTGTGAGCAATAATAAATATATGAACATAGAAAGTCATCTTGAAAGCAGATTTTTGAGAGCAAAGAGAATTTCTGGAACACAAAGACTTTTTCCCCTAGACGAAAACAGATCATAATTTATTAAAATTCCTTGGATGATTATAATATATATTTTAATTATAAATTTTTGATTGTATTATATGTAATGAAATTTGAAGCAAATAAAGTTATAAATATGTTTAAAATTATTTTGTCAAGTAACTTCTAGACAAAATTTAACTAAAGTGCTAAACAAAGCTCATTATTCCAGCCACTTCTCAAAAATTTTGATAAAGATAAAAAAAGTAAGGTCCTATCATTTAGACATAATTTTTAAATTAACATTATTTCATAACTATTCTTTATATTAAAATATGATATTAATGTTAAATTTGTTCAATTTTTGCCATATAAAGAGTGATAACTTCTAAACCCATGTTCATCCCAGTCTAGTATTTTGTTCAAATATAAAGCAGTGTGATATCTATCTATAGAAAAAATTTTTTGAAAAAAACCTCTTTTTTTTTCTATGGCCATTTGCGGTTTTACACATCCTGTTTTCGATATTAATATATGTCCATCATATTTATTCTTATGTCATTTTAGAGAACTTTTATTAAGCTACAAAATAAAATTTAAATTATTTTTCTAACTTAATAATTACTCGATATATTTGAAAATAAATGAGGTGGATTTTGTCAAAAATGTACCATTTTTCCGCGCTTTAAACGGCCATATCTTAGCGGGTAAACAGTGTTGGAAGGTAAAATTTCATTTTTTTTCTTAGTTATAGTATATACTACCAGTATACAAAATTTAAGAAAAATTGAAGGGGGTCTGGTTAAAACCTTGGTTGATTTGATATGGAATTCACCATATATAAATTTGATAAGATATACTACCAATATTGTAAGTTAAAATGAATGTATACTATACATATGAGCTATTTATCACATTTTATTGAATCGGATTGAATTATTTAACAGTGATTAAAAAATATATATTTTGTTATATAAAATAATAAATATCAATATTTTGTTTGTAAAGATACAATATAATAATTGTACAATAATAAAGTGAAAACATTTATTTCTCTATGGCTTCAAAATTTCCGTCATTATTATTTTTAAACATTTTTTAAATTTAAAAAAAATTTATAACCATGAGGCAGCTTAAGAGCTTAAAAATTGATCGAAAAGAATAATAAAATCACAGGGTTTTCAAGTATAATAATATTATATACAATAAATATGCATGCATAATTGGACCCGGAAATATAAAATTCAAGATTATAATATGCAAATCAATATTAATAATGCCATTATCCCCTCCCCACCCCAAATTTTTTTTTTGGCTAACTATAAAATTCGATTGTATTCTGGACATGATTTTAGCCGAAAACATAATCAAAATTTTTAGATACCACATTTGGTCATGCGAAAGTGAAAGGAAGGAGTAAAAGATAAGTTAAAAACAGATTGCCGATTCTCAATCTTACGTTTAACTTGTTTTAATGATTGGAGTTTTATTTTTAACGAATTGTTATTATCAATTTCAAACCATTTATTTTAAATTCCTTAGAAAATTAAAACTCTTAATAAAATGAATAAAAACATTATTTAGCTGTTTTTTTAACAATATATTTTGATTAAAAGGGCTCAAAAAAAGAAATCTAACAACCTAGCATTTATTTTACAATTCAAGTCATATCGATACTATGACTCTTTAATTTATGTATCTTATCATATCATAATTCGTCCCTAAAATGTTGCAGATACGGTTTCAAATCCTCCCTCTTCTCCAATGGCATGCATTTAGATGGCGTTAAAAATTCCATGTGATATTCGCATCTGCTCGGCTCGGAAACTGATACGAGCTTGTTAGAATCCCCGCACAACAATTTGACCTTATATAAATTAAGAGAAGATAAAAAATGAGTTAATATGATTTTAAAACATGATCAAGATTTTAAATGAACAAAATATTGACATGGAGGTTGGCATCTATATCAATATTTTTAATTTTTTTTAAATACTAATAGCTAGTATTGTTAAACGGCTCGTTTTTGAGCAGATTTTTAAAAACGACTAACTCAATATTTCATCTAGAATAATATTAGGCAAGCCTGAAGATTTTGTTTGCAGAAAGAACAACGGTTTGGACATCTATTAGCGAAATCTCGAGGCTTAGGCAATATATTCCTGGCGAAAATATTGAGCGTTTTTAAAAATCGCCTCAAAACGAGCCGTTTAACAACACTACAATAGCCAATACCAAATTTAATTAATTCTTATATTTTTTGGGGGGATAGTTATTTTAAAAAAATTTTGCGCGTAATTTTATTTTCCTTCATATCATAAATTTTCAATTATTTTCTTTATATATTTTATTTCGTAATGTGAACATTGATTGTTCCATGTATATTGAAAACGGCTAACTCAATATTTTAGCCAGAAAAATAATGCATAAGCCTCAAGATTTCACTAATAGACGTCCAAACCATTGTGCCACCTGTGGACATAATCTTTAGGCTTACGTAATATTTTTGTGGATAAAACATTGAGTTAGCCGTTATTATAAATGGGCTCAAGAGCCGTTTAACAACAACGTTATTAATGTAGAAAAAAATCCTCACCTCCTTACTGACATTGCTGAAAATCAATTATTATTTTTTTTAGGCCCGGCCCGGATATATTTTAAAAAAGGCTCGTGTACCCGGGCCGGGCTTGGAGATCCCTGATAATTTTAAAGGCCTACCATTGTGCTATATAAAGAAATTCAAATGATGCTTCTAGTTCAATTATATCCAAAATGAAAGGGAGTGCATTTTGCCAAAAAGTAACCATTTTTTCGACATTTAGAGGACCACATCTCAACGTCTGTATGGATTTGGAGGAGAAAGTTTTAATTCTCTCTTGGTTATAATGTACACAAACTCTAGTAAAAAATTTTAGAAAAATCTGAGGGTCGGCTAGAAAACTCGTATTGATTTATCAAAGATATCACCATATATTTCTGCAAAGATAGAGGCAAATAAATAAATTAAGAACAGGCCAAACAAAATTATGTATGTAATCCAACCCCCAAAAATATATCTTTAATTATTTTTAGCCAGTTTTGCAAACCACTATTGTATGATGATACTTATATAAACAGGCACAATTCAGTTGAAAATGATCCATAACGATTTTTAAAAAAAATCCTCAATTCATTTATAGTATAAAAAGTCCCATTTTTTATTTAGTGTTTCCTGTGAATTCAAATTTAATTATAATCTTAATTTTTTTTGTTAAAAACTTTGGTAGATCTATTAGGGCCATTCCAGCATTGCTGACCACCCGAGAATAGCATGTAACCATATCTGTCGTTATTTTCGTCCGTCTCAAAACTGTTCCAATTTCTATTAAAAATAAAAATTAAACAAGAATAAGCAATACATTTTTGCGCATTTTAAACCATCAACTATATATTATTGTTAATATATATATGTGTATAAAAGATTAAAACTCCCCAAAAGGGTGTTCTAGCTGCTTTTAGGAATAAAACGCCTCTTACTATTAGTTAAAAACAAATATTAAATTAGGTAGGATGCAACGATGCAATTATACTAGAATAAATAAATATTATGAATAAAATAGGTTTTATCATCAAATCTGTAAGAGATTTCACAAGGAATACAGGATAGATCAAAAGAATATACACCAGTAATACCTCTTTAATTTGGGACTTTTTTTAATCCAACTTAAATAATCGCCCAATTTAATCGAGACTTTTTACTTCCCAAATAGTAGTTAACGGGGATTTGTTTGGCACTCAAAATTTTAGTCAAATCAGGGAGTTGCCCAAATCCGCGAAGAACCCACATTAGACAAGTTTCATTTTATCATACTCTGCACAGAGAAAAAAAAGGTTTAACTTTGCCTCCATTTTTAAATTAAAACAAATGCCATTTTTTTTTAAAAAAAATTCCGGTCTTATTTGACCATTGGAAAGGGTCGGTTCGGTCGACAACCCGGTCCAAGGGTAGCTTCGATCTGAATGAAGACCGATTAAAAAGGAAAAAGTTTATCACGAATTGCTTTTTAATTATTGTACATGAACACGTAAAAGATGATTATCTAATACCAAACACCTTTTAATATCTCATTTCATCGTTCACTTTTTATATTATTCCGTTTCAACCATTAGTCAAGTAAATTTAGGTGCGTGACTGAATTTATTAGGTATCGTATTGTATTTTTATTATTGGAAATTGAAATTGTATAAGAAGATAATATTAATGAATCACACTCTTCGGGGGGGGGGGGGAATAACTATTGATTTAGAAAATAGTATTTGGAGTAAAACATTTCTAAATATTATGCAGTTGTATTGTTACAATATAATAAAAATGGTTTGATGATATAATTAAAATATTGCTAATTTAACACATTTCATTTTTAATATATTTAATGCAAGAATAAAACTTTTATACTTATCTTTAAAAAAAACATTTTCTGGATAGGACCGGAATGTCGGCCCCAAGGTCTGGTCTCACCTAACTTAACGGTCCTTTCTTATTCTAGAAAAAGGGACATGACCGTTGCAAACACTACCTTCATACACGACGTACCCACTAAGGAAGAAAGTTTCATTAAAGCAACTCAAATCAGGTTCAACATATTGTTATCATCATCTCAAACAATTTATAGTATTATTTTTTTTTCCTTCAAAATTTTAATAAAATATTAGTTCCTGCCCTTTTTCTCAATAGGTTAACCTTCTCTTCTCCACCTTTCCTTTCATCGGCTTTTTTTTTCTCTTAAAAATAATCATTTCATTCATACAACAAAATTTTTTAAGAAATTTACCCCATGCTGGTTTGAGATCCGGAGGAAATGGATTTCTGAACGGCATCTTTAAAAGGGCAGAGTATGTACACATATTCATTTCTGTCGTCCTTGTATTCAAAACAGTGGTTCATTAGCACTGAAAACTCCGTTTCCGGTCCAGTGTCCATTTCATCCATTCTTTTCAAGTGTCTTGGTAGGGAGGGGGGATTATTTTAAAAAATATATATTTCGTCAATAAAAATAAATGATTACGGTTATAAATATAAATTTTTGAATCGTGAATTCAGCATAACAAGGTAAATGTTTGAAAAGCATAAAATTTTAGGAAATATACAAAATTTTTCGGTCGTGGTGCAAATGTTTAACAAAATTTCCCGCCAAAAAATGATGGACAAAATTTTTTGTAATCAAAATTAAAATAACCCCTTATAAATGTAAACTCTTTATTAATAAAATAGAATTTAATTTGTAAAATAATGTACATAGATTATATATAAAATTAATATGGCATTGAATCAGGAATTGGAACGTACATTTCATCGTAATTCATTAAAATCGTTTTCATCATTTTCGTGCCAAAATATTTAAAATATATAATAGGTTTTTATACCATAGATGCACAAGTTTAAACTAATCAAGGTGCGGTTAAAAAATTTTTTTGTCATTTTATTCTATTAAATAATTTTACATACATAAAAAATAAATAAAATTATATTATTGATTATATTTTAGCTTTATTTCCCAATAAATATAAATTATTTTTTCGTATTAGCATGGTATATCGGCTGATATCGTGTTAGTTATTGATGCATCTCTGGTTTAAACAAATCAATTAAAATTACGAGTATTCTTTATCCAAGTTGGAGTGCTTGGCAGATAATTCGGAAAACTCTCTTCTGAGATTTTGTGCTTCTAGAAGGATCGGATATTCAAAATTATACATTAAATTATAATTTTATTTTGTAAAAAAATCTTTCTCTTCGCTTAATTATTCCCCCCCCCCTTTTATCACTATTTAGGTTCATTTTAACCTTTTAAAAGCGCCTTCGTGTTTTCGTCGTAAGGTAAAATGGAAGGTTCCTCACCATCTAATACTTCGTTTTCTTCATATTCGTTCTTGGCTGTATGCACCTCTTCCGAATTTTTGTCTCTGGGATAAATGTCCTCTTCCTCGTCGTCATCATCGTCGCCACGGCCGCCTTCATTTTCGAGACTTTGATGGTCGTCCATCTCAATCTCACCTCCATCTTCCTTCAAATGCGGGTGTTCCTGTGGGTGATCCGGATAATTTACATCCTCGGGATGTAAATGTTGTTCCTCCTATATTATGTAAAAAAAGAATCATAGAATATTATTTGTCCCAATGGCAAAAACTATTAAAACTATAAATTTTCCCAATTGATAACTTACTTGTTGGATAGGTTCCGTCACGTGATCGTTAATAATTTCGGGAGAATTTATTTGAGTTTGGGCTGGAGGTTCAGTGTGGGTCAACTGAAAATAAATAAATATGAGACAAAAATAAAGTGAGTTAATTAAAATAAATTTCAAAAAAGAAGAAAAATTAAACAGGCTAGGTAGAACATGCAGAAATCACCTAAAATCGATTGGCTAATAAATGATTAGAAAAAAAACTTCATAAGAATGCGGATGACATTTGTAGAGACGTTGTGAAAAATGTTCGTAAAATTGATGGGCATCCATTTCGAATCGTTTCATATTTTCGAAAACCGACTATCCAAAAATAAATATTTTTAATGGTTAGAATGATTAAAAAATAGTATCATGATAATCACGTGACTTAGATTTTCCAATCACTGTTTATTATCTCCCCCCCCCCTATTTTTTTGTAAACAAAAAAGGAGAATAATTCTTTCTTTACATTCAAGTCATTGCGATCGACCACGCTATCAGAATTATAATCACATTCGTCAACGTTCACTTGAAGTTCTGTATCATTTCGGTTATTCAAGGTTTCGTCTTTGGGTTCGGTCGGGACATCTTGCTGCTGAGTTAGTAAAGGGAGCAAGTTAGAAGCGAGTTCGTGATCTTGCAAACTATGAACGATAGTTTATTTTGTGTACATAAATTTTTAATTATTTTTTCCCCTACTTAAAACGATTTTTGATAATAGAAATATCCCATTTATTCTCAATAATATTGTTAGAGCCATGCACCAATAATTAAGCCATTACATAGTAACTTTACAATTTACTATATATTTTTTAAAAAAAATTTCTTAATTTTATCTATTGAAAAACATGCCCAAAATTTAGGTCTTGTATTGAATTATCACAAACAAAAAGCCCTAGTAACAATTGTAACAGCTTTGAGATAATGAACAGAAGTCCATCCCCTAGATAGTAACCTATTTTTACAAAAATGAGTATTACTATGTACTGTACATAACCTAAAAGAAAGGCAATAAGTCAGCCCAAACCCAAGGTTGAGGCCTAATTTTTTTTACATGTTCTATCAAGCCTCAGACTTTAAAAAAATACCAAAAATAATGTATTCTCATATTTTATGATACAAAATGATAAATATCTGTGATATGAACAAAGTGACTAATAATTTTTTATTTCTTATAACTTCATAAAAATATGTTTTATATATTTCCATTAAAATTGTGTTGATGTTAGACTTATTAAATAAAATTATTGGAACCAGGTTAAATATTAAATTTTCAGTGAATGGGATGTAGAATGGATAGTTTCACTTTCAGGAAGGTAATTAAATTATATAATGGGAATGGTGATCTCAAAAGAGGAATATCTAAATCTTTTATAAATTAATACATAATTATTATAAATATATACAAACAGGCCTTATAAATATCTGGGTTGGGGCTAAAAAAAATTTTTTTTAAACATCCAGGCCAGGCTAAATATTTTAAATGGACATTATTATCTATAAAAATTAACAATTAATAAAAAAAATTTTTAATAATCTGGGCCAAATCAGGCCTGAAAATATAAAACCTGACTTGGTCAATTTATTTTAAAAAAAACCAAAGTTCAGCCATTCAAAAGGTACCTCAGTAGATCTTTGATTATTACCCATCATTTCCTATAATTATTGTGTGATTCTAAGAATTAAGATTATATATATATAAAAAAAATTTAAATCATATTTGAAATAATTTTAACTGTTATTATAAAATTAATTTTATATAAGTTTTTAATTCCAATGGATAATATTGTTAGCAATGAAGAGGTCTTAATTAATTCTAAACACACAATGTAAAAATTTATATAATATATAGGTCAGACCAATATTAAGATGACCTATTTATGGCACCAGATTGGCAGCTAATTATTTTATGCATAGGTAACAAACAATAACCAAAATATCTAATTTGTAAAAATAAATTATACATACATGCCATTCTTATTGGTATCCAACTTTTCAAATAGCTCTGCACTTTTCTTCTTCGCTTCTTTGATTTTCATTTGTTCTTTAATTTCTGTAAGAAACAAAGAAATTTTTGAAAAATATGTGAAAACTTATTCCTTTTTTTCAAGTTAGAAATTAAAATGATTTTACACAATCTTTTCTTTTTGTTAAAATAAATATATATAATAATAACCATTCAACATTTTCATGTACTCATCTTTAGCTTGTTTTTCTTTAACTTCCAATGCAATTTTCAAACCTATTATACAATTTTTTTTATATAAATTATGATGAAAAGTTTAAACATTTTTTTTAAAAAAATAGATGTTACCTTCTATTTTGGTAAATTCTTCCTTAAGTATAGCTCTTTCTCTAGCTACTTGATTCAATTTTTCCTTTTATATAAAGCATTGAGAAATAGATAATATAATTATTATTTTTAAAAAATTGTTTAGCAAATCAATTATAAAGGTAATAAATGAATTTTACAAATGCAATATAAAATCTTAACTTGTCTTTGGTGTTTTAGAGCTAGACCATTTTTGATGTCTTCTGCTCTTATTTTTAAACCAATTTCATTGATTTGAATTTGATTCTTTAAATGTGCCACATAAACTTGGCCTTCTTCTCTAAAATCAATTTTGTTAAAATATTTTTTTTTATAGTTTATTTATTCTTGTTTTAAAATTTTAAAGTATATCGATTAAAACAGTATAAACCTACAAGTATTATTGCATTTGGTATCCAGTAAATGCTCATCAGATCCATCACAGCAATCTTAAATTTATAGGAATTATACCATAATTTTATTCATATATTACCACAAATTCCATCATTGACCCAACTGGAAAATATTGATTTGCCTATGAACCCTTTATTGTCACAATGGAATTGACCATTTCTGCAAGCTGATGTACCTATATAATATTATATTAAATTTGTCTATTAAGTTCAATATTCATAATTACCAGGTTCATCACTTCCATCTTTGCAATCGCAATAATCATCATTAACAAATTTATAGGGTATTTGAAAGGAATCAGTAAAACAATAAAAATACCCATCTTTATTTGCATACAAATGACTTCCTAAAAGATATTTCCAAATATAAATTAGATATATAAAGATTTTTAAAACTTTCGACAGATACACCAATAGGTCTTGTTAAGGATTGAGATTTAACTACATAGAATAAACTGAATAAATATAGAGGTATTTCAAAAAAAAATTTGGTAAACATCGCTGAAGCACGATGCAATTATTAAACAATCCACGTGTAAATTTTTTTTACTAAATAATTTAAGTAATAGATTGAAACATTGTCTATAGGTGAGAGAAAAAATAGAGGTAATATGCTTGTAAATTACCCCTCTACCCTCTCTTGTAACTTAGTGTATTTTTATTTAACATATTAATTTAAATACAAGATAATTATTTAATTGAACTACCTGTTCTAAAGACGAAACGTTACATACTATTAATTTAACATAACATAGGCAGAGCCATTTGGGGAGGGAGAAAGAATAATAAATTTCTCCATCTACTTCAAAAATTACATGTTCTCGTAAATATTATAATAAGTTGATAAAAAATTTCCCCTACAATTACACCCCCCCCCCTTCGTCCAAATATTTAATAATTTTTTTAAAAAGTAATTTAAAAAATTAGTGAATCAAAATTATTTTTATATTTAACATAGCAAACTACCTACTTTAAGTGGCTATATTGACCGCCAATAGAATATATTGAGGACAGCCGATCTAATGCCTTCCCCTTACCTTTCTTAGAAAGAATCTTGGCTACGCTATATGTATGGATAATTGGATTTCCAGATGAGGAGTTTGACTGGGGCGGTGCATCTGTCAAAAAACGAATCCATTTTTGAAACGAAGATTCAAAATCCTAATGAAAAGTGTAGATTTTTATTTTGTCATAAATATTTTCTTTTATATGCTCTTTCAGAGCTAAATGTGGGAATTCCCAGATTATCTAAAAATTTTCAATTAAATTATATATTTTGATGTCATTTTTACCAGTCTAGTAGATTTGAAACTTTAGCAACAGTGGTTTCTCCAAAAACCTAATTATTATGACTACAACTTCCTTCAACCTGATGAATTTTATCAAAAAAAGTCACTTTCTTGAATTTATTTTATGTTTCTTTCATTTAAATTAATTATTATTTATTTTAAACATATATTTTTCCAATAGATTATCTAATAAAAGATGCTTAGCTAGCTCTTAAAGGTGTCTAAAATGTGCGAATTTATTTTTTAAAGCGTCTATCAATCTATTAATGTATAATTTTCTGAGGAGCTTCGCTCTCCATACCCTTTGGCGGGTCTTTGGCTCATTTTGTACCTCTTTCAACCGACCCTTAATTTTTTCTAAAATAAATTGTAATATACATGTATTCGGTAATCAAAATAATATATAATAGAAATATAGAATCTATCTCAAATGCATTCCCCCATACCCAATGGAAAAAATCAAAAATAACTACATATATCATAAAAATATTTTTTAAATTAGATTCAAAAAAACATCAAATTAACTTATAAATGAGCAAAACATTTTTTATATATTCAAAAAGTAGCCCAAAATTATGTTTCGTTGTAACTAAAGAGTGTAGTTGGGTAATTACTATATTTTTAACCATTTAAGCCAATCTATAACCTGCTAAAATCATAGGCTCTAAACTAAGTTTTTAGCTGAAAACTATCACTTTCGTCTCTGAGTTTTCATAAAAAGATAGCAGCTCAAATTTGGAAGAAACTTATATTAATTAAAACGCCGTAAAGTTAGAGGATTTTCTCCGACAGTCGCCTGAAGATTCAGCCGAAAGTAGGCGACATTTAGCCATTACCCAACTATACTAAAGAGACTTTTGTAAAACATCAATGAATTACTATTTTAACTCTGATCGTGTTCTAAATGCTAATATAGAGGAATAATAGTTAAAAATGATAAAGTGTTTGTAAATGAGGCCATCTCCATAATGGTTAGGCAATAAAAACCAAGTAATTATATATATATTTTGACTAATATTTGTATTGGTTAGTATTGTTTTTAAAACAATATACCATACCAATATTTGATTCCATATTTATTTATATTAGTGTTGATATTGTGGAACAAAAAAATACTAAACTGGTTAAGCAATCATAGGCACTAATAAAGCATAAAATGATGTCATCGATTTAAGAATAATTTTTCCTATTTCAGCCAACTTTAACGGATACTATATAAAGGAATTGCATATTTCTAAAAAGCAAAATAGAAATAATCTTGAGAAAATAAAAAATATATAAGCACAATTTTTAATAAGCTGGATACGGCCGAAAGTTGGAAATATATAAGTTTGAAGTTGAAGCCTCAAAATAAAACTTTCTAACCACTCCCCCCCCCTTACTTTGATAAATCTTAGTTGAACACTGTCAAATGTCAATGTCGGATTGGCATTTTTCATATTTAGGATTTATGACAATATCTAAAGTTGTTGTCATAGGTGATCCTAAGCTACTCTATTCAAAAATCGTTTAGCTTTTTAAATAATTTGTAGTTGATTATACTTATATAAAAATCTATTTCATATATGCTATTAGTTGTAACTTAAATGTTTTAAATAATCGTTATCATGCTTGGGGAGAAAAATCTAAAATTTTAATTTTTATAATATTTTTTATAAAAAAATCATATAAAGTATTGTAATATTCGATTAATTATTTAACAAATATATGTATATATATATATATATAAATAATTGAACATGTCTTACCATGTATTTGGGATAGGTTCTAAATCGCTAACACAAAAATCGCTAAAAATTGGGAATCTCGCTTATATCTCCTAAAAAACTTTAAAAGTAAATTGAAATTAATATTTAGAAGGGAAGTAACCACTTCTATTTAAATTGAGTTTTTTAAACAATCGTTAAAATGGAGGAAATATTATCATTGCTCCCAAATTAAGAAAATAAATTATATTTCTTCAATTTTTAACAATTATATAAAAAAACTCAATTTAAATGAAAATATTTACTTTCATTGCATCTATTAATATTAATTTTAAATTAACTTTAAAAATTTTCTAGGAGATATAAGAGAGATTCCCAATTTTTAGCGATTTGAAACCGGGAACCTTTTATTTACTTTATGTAAAAGAAATAAATACCATAGCAACAAGAATATTTTTACAAATTCACGATCATTGAAAAATTTGTAACATAAAATTAATGAAGAGTTATAAAATATTAAATATTAATAAATAAACTGTTATTTTAATGGATATAATTAACAATTGTGAGAAGATTGCCATTCAATCATTATTATGTTGATTGTTAACAAGATTGAAAAATTATGAATTATATTATATGAAATTAAAATGTATTTTTGATTTACTCTTAATTTTATTTTTATAAAATGGAATTTTTTTGATGTTCAGATTAAAGTGCTTTTTTTTTATCTTGATTGTATATCAATGACATATATAATACCTAGACTGACAATTCATTCATTAAAAGTGTACATCAATGTAAATCAGCTGGAGACACCATCTTAGTTGCACTAATCATTATTAAAAATTTGAACAAGAGCCTAATTTATTCCTATGTCCGACGCAAACTTTATTAAAGAATTACCGGATCATCGAGATAATAAAGAAGCAAGTTACCAATTTAATAGTAGTTTTTAACATAAGAATAATTACTATATGTAATGACGGGTCCAGCTGATTTGCTTTTAACGACGCTTAAAAATGCATTTTAATGAATGAATCGTCATATTATATATGTCATTGTTGTATATATGTAGTATAATATTTTTACGAAAAGATAGATGTAATTTTTTTGGATTTACGTATTAAAAAACAAAGTTCTTCATTAAACTTCGTGTTTAAAATGCTTTTTCCTGACAATAACCGTATTAAGGAAAAATTTAGGGCATCAATTTTAAATGATAACATAAAAAATTTAATTAAGATTAAAATAAGGCGAGGTCAAATCTAACAAATAAGTATTTATTTTTCATAAAAAAACAAAGTTGAAAGTAAAAATGAGAAGAGGTCAAAATCATAATTCGACATATATATATATATTAAAAATAACTTCAAAATAATTTTTCAAAATTTCTTTCTTTCACAAAATCAAGAAAATCATAATTTTTAAAATGTATAAACCCATATTGAATTTTTTACAAATTAAATCAAAATAAAATAAATATTGATTGACATTTATTTTTTAAAACATATAAACATTTTTTTCCCGTCTTTAATTCAACATCTGGGACACGCCCACATAATAATCGTAATTTTCTTTTTATTGAAACAAAATAAATAAAAAATCCTTTACTCTCAACCCTTTACTCTTACAAAAATATAACTTATCAATCCAAAATAATCCTTTTAATAATATTAAATAAATATAATAAACATTACTACAATTCCACTTTATTCATATATATACATATATAACGTATAAACATATTAAATCTTCCCCAATCAATCTCGTTATCCAATATCTTCACTCCAAATAGCAAACAAAGAACTTCTTCTAAAAACAACCCATGTGATAATTTTGTTTTCCTCCCATCCACAAGGAAAAACTAATTTCCCTGTCAGAAAATAACTGACATTTGATGTAATATATTAAATTTATTTCTTCTTTTTTCAACAGCTACAACACGCTCACCCTTCACAAGCCCAGCCTCCCTCTCTCTGTGGTGGTGTTGTATCGAATCGCCCCTTTGAATTGTATCGGGACGACTTGAAGACGTTCAGGGAATTTATCGAATCGTCTTCCCTTATGATGATTTATAATATAATATCTCCGATACATTTCAATATATAATCGCGAAAACACATATTATCAATAATGCCATGTACATTAAGGTATCTGCATTTATAATCTATGGAACATTAATATGGACAATGTAATATCAGCAAAACATAATAATTCATTCATTTTAAGACATTTGGGAAATATGAGCTATAATATACATTATTTGGGTATGATTAATGGTAATTAGGAAATAATGATTTTACATATAATACTGTAATGTGAACACATATGTGTGAAATGCAATTTCAACACATGTAATTGTCCTTCTGTCATGTAAACAAAATCAAAGCTACATTTTTATAAATATCTCCTAAAATAGATATAAAAATCCATTTTTAGGTATTAAAAATTATTGTAAAAATTTGCCGAACAAAGTTTTTAAATAAAATTACAAGACATATGTATAGAAATAAATTTAATATTTTATAGGGAGGAAAAATA